CCTGCAAGCTGATGCCTTTCATAGCTTATAGCATGAGCTTTATTTTCATTCTTGTGTGTTTCACTTTTCTTTACATTGGTAGTCTCTTCTTTATTCAACTTGCCATTCTTTATGAAATTCTTTATGATTTCGCTTGGAATTACCATGCTTGCAAAGTTCTTAGTTGCATTCCTAATCATTCTTTTGTAATATAGAGCTTTCAGGATATTGACAAATAGGATAATGGTTTTTTTCTTTTTGAGGGGTGGTTGTACTTACACAACCACATTTCTCCATCTCTACGCTTATTCTTTGAAACTCTCAATCGATTTTTTTTTCATGTTTTATAGAGACAAACAATCTAGGATTATATCTATGATATATCGATATTAAAAAATGAACACCTTTGTAAGCTCTTTCTAAGAATGAATATAAATCCTATATAGTTAAACATATCATTTAGCTGTAGAAAATGTAAGGCTATCTAGAAATACATGGATCAATAGCTTTTCATTATGACTATTTTACGATAATACATAATGACATGGGTTATCAAGTATTTTGTACCATTGTAATTTTTTAAACTTAAGGACTTTAAATTTAGATGGGATGGCCATGTTTGGAACAAAATAAAGCTCAACCTCATCCATAAAGCCATAAAAATCCATTCTTTTTGTAACTTTAAGTCATTTTTCTAACAATTTCATCTTCTGCTGGGAGCTTATGTCCTCCACCATCTCAGATGCTTTCATTCTCAACTTTTATTTCTCGTTAAGATCATTTAATCAAGAATCAAAATTGGCTCAGATGGTTTCTCTACAAAGACCAGATTATCAAAATTTTGAAACTCTCTTAGGGCAAGTGTGGCGGTCATTTCCAAATAGGTAAATGAATATCTTTCGGGAATAAGAATTTACACCCTAGCCTCTTGAAAAGTTTGAGGTTGATGAGGCTTAAACCTTGGGGGGTATGAATGATCTATCATGTCTGACAATTACTCTGGTAAGCTAGGATCTCCTTTTGTTATTTTTTGTTTATACAAATTCTTAAACATGTTTATTATCTTATTCAGATCCACTTTTAATTATTCTTACACCTTTTCAATTCTTTCATATCAATTAGCCTACTCCTGTTCCATGATCTTTGCTTGAGCTCTAATGTTGTATAAGTGGCGAGTAGGCTATTTGGGATTTTTTTAAGGTCAAGTTATCCCTGAACCTTTAATACCACAATTAGAAAGCTTAAATGATCATGCAATAAAAATTTTCCTTTTTATTAATTTTATTTTTAAAAAATAGAAAAAAAAAACTTAAGATTTGATGTTATTAATGACTTTTTTCAAAAGCACAACACCAAATATGACTTACGCATTAAATGCATGAATGAAAAAAAAATATTTGCTACGTCACAATATTCAACAAAAGATCTTTCATTAATTTCAAGAACATTTTTTAATAGAGCCTATCATTCCTACATTACATCTATAAAAATGCTTGATTTGCTCATGTTGATCTTTTACCTCTTTTATAAATTCAATAGATGCTTTTCGATTAGGTTGATTGCACATTTCAATGCTGTTGTTTCTTTAGCCATTTCCAATGCTTCACCTACCACTTTAGAGATTTGTGTTGCCAGATGCTTTATGTATCGTTGTCATCTAAATTTTCTTTCTTGCCACACCACACTTAGTACAATAATTCTTTTTTTTTAACAGTGCAATAATGTAATCTTTTTGCTCATTCATCCTCTATCTCAAATCTTGAATGTAGTCACTTAAAATGTTGTTGCCTCTATAAGCATAAATATAAGCGTCTTCCATCTTGGAACATTCTTTCATCAACCTTTCATTTTCGTCAGTCAATTTAATGACATTTATCTTATTAGCCCTTTCTTTTATATACAATCTCTTGTATTCTTGATGTAACTTGGACAAATCATCAACAATTGTATCATGTTCCCTAATGACCTTCTAGATTCTAACTTTTTGCTTCTTCTCATTGTCTTTCAACCATTAATTTTCCTTTTGAAGTTTTTGAATCTCTTATTTCATTTTATCTTTTTCATCTTCAAATTCTTTCTTCACAAATTCTAACTCTAAGGGCACTTCTTTCAATTTTTGATCCATTATTTGGCAAGAATCATTGGTAGTAAACACGACCTATTTCTCATGCTTCACTCTCCAAACTAAATATCCATGAGTAACCTTATCAGTAAAAGGTTCAAGACTCACTCTCCAAGGGGTTTTTCATGCTTGGATCACATTATCTATCTTCTGGAATACTTTTGACTCACTGTAAAGAAAATCCACCTAGCCAAGTTTATGTATCATGAAAATGAACTGTTTTACTCCAAATTATCTTCATACCATGAGTGGCGTACAACTTGTTGCTCCCTATAAGAGCGAGAACACTATCTCATTTCCATAATGATACAACATAAGCTTTCAATTTATCCATGAAACAAACCATTTTACCTTTGCATTCTAAGTTATGTAGGAAAGCCACATATTCTTACTTGGATTTTTGCTTTGGCCATTCACTTTCACAAAACTCTATAATCGAAGCCCGAATACAAAAGTAAAGTTTTGAGAAGGCACTTTTCTTACATTCAAAATGGTTTTTCATCCATAACTATGATAGTGATGTACATCCTGTAAAGCATCTTTTATTTTGGCGACAATAACTTAATGACATGATGGTTTCTGATAATATTGCCATTGAAGGATTACAACCTTTCCCCACTTGTTCAAAAATATCTACTATTGTTATCTCAATATATCCCAACACCTTTGGAAAAATCATGTTCCATATATTGTTAAAGCAAATACATCTATACTTTTTGTCATCATTTGGGTGTTTCACAATAAAATTGCGAAGAAATTCCCATGGTAAACAAACACACTCACACTTGCACTTTGTGTTCAAATCACTGATCACCTTATCAATGTTCATAAGATTGGCTATTGTCTTATGAAACCTTAACTTGTTCTTTTTAATGAATATTTTATTTGGAGATTTAAGTTGCAAACCTAATAAAGTCAAATATTCTTCCATTGTCAGTGTCATGTCCACTTCTTTAAAGATAAAAGCATTTGTATGAAAGATCCTATAACCTACATTCCAAAGCCTTTGGCTCTAACCAAGCTGAGCTATCCCAACCACTCTCCTTTCCTGCAATCGAGCCATATGCACCAACTAAGCCGAGTCGATTCCTATTTTGGTATTTTTATTTTATTTTATTTATTTTATTTATTTTTAAAGTATTTTTGCATGATTAAATTTTAGAAAAAAATTAGAGAAAAAAATTTTAAAAAAAAAACAAAATAAAACATTAATAATTTTTTTAGAATAAATAATAATTATCCAATGATGAAATTTTTAGAAATTATAAAAGGTTAATTTTTATAAAATTCCTAAGTAGAAAATTTTTCTAAATTTGTCCCAAATAGAAGAGAATTTAGATAAAGTTTTAATAAACAATAGTTAATATTCATTTGCAATTTTAAAAATAAAAATTAAAAACATAAATTTAATAAAATTTTGGAATTAAAATACTAATTACCCAATTATGAGATTCTTAAAAATTTCAAATGGTAAATTTTCTAAGAAATCTCTAAGTGAGAAATTTCTTTAAATTAAACCAAAATGGTAGAAAAATTTAAAGGAGACTTCAAAAAATAATTGTCATATCATTTGCTTTCCAAATATTAAGAAACTAACAAGAATTTAGATTCTAAATTTAACCTAAATGATAGAAAATCTAGAAATGAAACTTGTAGGAAAATTTTTCTAAATAGACCAAAATGGTGAAAAATTTAGAATTAAAAACAAAAATAAAAAATAAAATTTAAGGATAAAATTCTTAGTAATCACAAATGGATGATTATCTAAAATACTTTTATGTGAGAAAATATTTCTAATTTTGGCTCAAATGGTAAAAGAATTAGATATATTTTCAATAAAACAAAAATATAACAAAAAATAAAATTGATTAAGCTTTCCTGTGATAGAACTTTTTTAAGAAAACAAATTGGATTCTTAAATACTCTTGAGGTGAGGAAGTATTTTTAAGAATTATATCAGATTGATGGAGAAATCTTAAGAATTTTTTTCAATATTAAATTTATGATAATTAGAATCAAGATCTTAAGATAATTTAAAACAAAATGGTATCATCTTTTGGATGGGCATGTAAGGGTGCTATAACATTCCCCATATGTAACCGATCTCTTAAACTTTATTCTGATTAGTAGACTAGAACATATTCTTTAGGGACCTTTAGTTAAGCTTGAGAGCTCCTTAAAAGGATAAATTCATTAGGTGGTCAATCATACCTGATAAAATATTGGTAGTGACTCCTCTTGTTAAATCTAACTATAGATTTACAGATCTATACGTTATGACATATATATAAAAAAAAAAATCTATACGTTATAACATATATATATAATATATATAAATAAAAAATGGATAACCTCTAGAATCCACCATACATGTAGCCTCCAAAACATCAACCAAACTAGAAACTTATCCATATCACTACTCTTAGTGTTAGTAGACCTAACAATGAATTCAACAAGAGAACTGGGAATAAAGAAGGAGTCAAATAAGTCGAAAGAGAATTCAGTTGAAAAATCAAGACTCGATATTTCTCTAAGCGTTTAAATTCTCTAAGGAAATTGTGTTTGGTGCAACGAATGTAGGGTATTTTGAGGTTCGAAGTTGTTGTTTTCAGCTTAGATCTCGATAAATTCAAAAGTGAAAATTGAGAAAGAAAATGAAACTTCTCCATTCAAGCTATTGGAGAAGTTTCCTTCCCCAAATTATCCATTAATTGATTTTATTTATATTGTGAGGGGATAACTTTAATATTATGTAATAGATTTTTTAATTCAAATTAAAATGGAAGTACTATATTGAACATTTAAAAACTTTTATTACCCAAAGAGAAATTTAAAAAAATGAAAAAAACAAAAAAAAAGGGAAAGGAAAATGAATTATAGTTCTTCCATTAAACAAGGCTTAAACTCTTAAACCATCCCCATTCATATTCATGTGAAGTAAAAGCAGCGAGAAAGAGTAAACGAAAATCGGCGAAAAACAATGACAGTAGCGGCCGGGATAGGGTACGCGTTGGTGGCTTTAGGACCGTCTCTTACCCTTTTCGTCTCCGTTATCTCCAAAAAGCCCTTCTTGATCCTCACTCTTCTCTCCAGGTTTCCCTCATTTTCCCTCCCTTTTCTCTCTTACCAAACAAACCCAACTCTGGGTTTTTCTTTTTTGCACTTCCTTTTCTTTCATACCAAACAAACTCTGGGTTTTTTCTATTTTTCAATTCTGAATTTGTTAGTCACTTCAACATTGTAACTTTTTTGTTTGTCAATAATGCAGTACATTGGTTTGGCTTATAAGTTTGATAATATTATCTGGAATATGGAGAGCTTTTCTTCCTTTGAACTCAAAAACTTGGTGGCCTTTGGCAATTCTTATATTCACATCCGTTGCCTTTCAAGAAGGCCTTCGCCTTCTTTTCTGGAAAGTTTACAAGTAAGGCAATAACTATTACTACTTGCTCTTGGTTTTTCAGAAGCAGAAAGAAAAATATAAAAACGAATACTTATGTTTTTGAAGAATTAACACTTGAAAATTGTAATTTCTTTTTTGAGGAGACAAAATGTATGATTCTACTTGTTTTGTTGGTGCTACATTTTAGTAATTTCCTTATCTTTAATCAATTATGGTTTTGTTGCTTTCAACCATTTTATTTCAATTTATAGCAATCTTGGGAAGAAGAGGGAAGAAAGTAAATAGCTAAGACAGAATGTTAAAGAACATAGAGTGGTTTATTTATTTGTTTTATATTATTATTTTTATTAGGGAGGGGGGATTTGAACTTGCTCTTTGAGCAGGGGATATATGCACCTGCCATTGAGCCAAATGCTCTGATGAATAGAGGGGGTCCTTGATTAGTTGTACAGTATGCCTACTTGACTGCTTGGATATAACTGCATGTTATGCTGTGAACACCAGTTTGATAAATGTTTGCATTTGAACTTTCTCAGGAGGTTAGAAGACATATTGGATGCTTTTGCTGATAGGGTCTCAAAGCCACGCCTATACCTGACTGATAAGATGCAAATTGCTCTTGGTATGATTGGAAGAGGATTCTATATTTGCTTTCAAATGGTTTAAATTGCCATACTTGCTTTCGAATTGCTGTGCAAAGATTTTCTGTTAGAATTGATACTTGAAGTGGAAAAAGAGACTTGTATTTTTTGTGCACTGTTGTAGGACTGAATCAAGGTGATTTTTTTATTGTATTTTGTAAAATGACACCCTCTTAATTATTCAGTTAGGCCTTCTGTGTGCTGATTTTGCAGTTAATTCTAATTATAGAGAAGCTTCATGTTGTACAAAAGACTTGTTCATTAGGAATATAGATCTGGAGCATAATTCTGTCCAAACTATTTTCGTACTTTTCCTTGCTTTTGTGGGTTTTTCTGGAAATAATAAATTATATTGATACCCTTCTTGTGTTCTTTCTGAATATTATTTCTTGCTAATTTAATTTATGCACTTATATTGTTCCATTAACTGATTCAGCTGGCGGGTTAGGTCATGGTGTGGCACATGCAGTATTCTTTTGTCTTAGCCTCTTAACACCAGCATTTGGTCCAGCAACTTATTTTGTTGATAGGTGTTCACAGATACCATTTTTCCTTGTTTCTGGTGAGTTATGTGTTTTCTTCTATAAATTTGTTACATGCATCCATTTATATTTTTCGATTGTGTTTATGCGTCAAGCATACCTCTGTCTGCATCTTACACACACTGTTTTTTGTTTCATACAACCTGTAGGTTGAGATTGAATTACTAGAATGGAACTCTAGGACTAGTTGGTCTTAATTTTCTATGAGAATTGACACCTCTTAAGAACTATTTAAAAATTGGATTTGAAGTTAAGTTTTTATTTCTAATAGCTTTTATCTAACATTGCAGCAATCATTGCTCTTGCATTTGTAACGGTTCATACTTTCTCTATGGTTATTGCATTTAATGGCTATTCTGAAGGGAATAAAGTGGATCAAGTTTTTGTTCCCTCAGTTCATCTTGCTGCTGGAATGATGGTAATAGCCTACTTTTATTTCACACGTTTATGCCATACTTTCATGTTTGGTTTTGACATTTTATCAAGCTGAAAAGTGACAAGTGCTAATCTTTAAACTGAGATAATTCAGCATCCACTGGTGGATATGCTATGTGGCATTATCTAATTCCTATTTGAGCCATGATCCTATTGAACTTTGAAATTGATAACTGTTAACATGTGTATTCTATTTTCTTGTGGAAATGCATGAACTTCGTTTGTTCAGACCTGTTTAAAGGACATGTTTGGAAATTTTGTAAAATATAAGGTTTATGGCAATGGTCGGAATTTGGGTAAGGTTTTTGGAAACAGGTAGCTTTGGATATCAAAAGTGGGTTGAAACTAAGGGTAAAGATTGCTGGAAATTTTGGGCAGCAAGAATATTAGGATTTAGTTGGTGAATTGAAGACTAATTGCTGTTGGGGACTGATATGACATGGAAGATAAATATGGTTGGAAGTCACAAGAAAGGGAGTTTGATCTAGGTTGCAAAGAAGAGAAGAAACTTGTTTAAAGGAAAAGGTTTCTGTGCTGTGAACAGTTAACCAAGCACTCTAGCTAGAAAGGTTGAAAACTAATTAGACTGTGAATGGTAGCTCAAAAGTGTTAACCATGTAACTGTCATGTCCACAGATTATGAAATGTGGTTTTCCTTGTTTGATATAGGAAATAAGAATAACTTTTGTAAGTTTGAAACTTTGGATAATGGATACATCTCCCCTTCTCATTCCCTCCTAAGTTAGGAAAGGGGAAGAAACGCAAAACCTCATCCTTGGTTTGGTCCATTTGTACATAACTGGCCATTGTTTTTTAGAAAAGTGAAACTATGCTATGTTGATCTTAGATTTTTAGGAGACATTGGTAAGGGGAATAGTGAGAAGTTCTAAACAATGCTCTTTTGGCATCCTTAGCCAGGAAAATGTTATCCTTTTGATCTGAACAGTAAGGAGAAATCTTAGTGTTTAGTTCAAAACAATGTTGTTTTGACATTTAGCATTTCTCATACAAATACCAAAAGTATGACTAAACAAGGAACAAGTCTTACAATCAAAATCACATGTTACTTGTTTACAAGAAGGTTATTTGTAATTTACCATTTTGCTTATTAAAGGAATCTATAGAATAAAACTATTTTGCTCTTCTATATTTTTCTTATTACAATGCTAGATTTGCATAAAAATATATAGGCTAAAGACTGAATATTCTCAACCTTAAAACCGAAGATTTGCATGCATTAAAATAGCAAATCAAAGGAGTAATTTACTCTCTACATATAATAGGAAAATATCTAATGGATTTGGTGTAATTGCCCAAATCACTTTTTATTCTAAAAATAAGAGACTTAACTAAAATAAATAAAGTCGACTAATCAAGTAATAATGAAGATTACATTTCCACACTCCCCCTCAAGCTGGGTGGTAGATGTCAATCATGCCCAGCTTAGATTTTGGATTCTCGAAATTGTTTCGAGAGAGAGCCATAGTAAGTATGTCTGCAGTTTGGAGGCATGGGGGAGTATAAACTAATCTAACAATTCCTTCTTCTATCTTCTCTTTGATGAAGTGACGATCAATCTCCACATGTTTAGTCCTATCATGATGAACTGGATTCTTTGCTATGCTTATGGCAGCTTTGTTGTCGTAGAATATCTTCATGGATTCTTTTGCAAAGACCTTTAAGTCCCCTCGCAACTTTTTTAGCCAAATTCCCTCATATATGCCATGAGACGTAGCTTTAAACTTAGCTTCTGCACTACTTCTAGCCACCACAAATTGCTTCTTCCTTTGCTAAGTAACCAAATTTCCCCACACATAGGTACAATAACCAGTAGTTGATCTTTGGTCACTAACGGATCCAACCCAATCAGCATTAGTGTAAATTTCAACATTTCAGCATGATATCTTCTTAAAAAATAACCCATTGCCAAGACTCTTCTTTAGGTACTGTAAGATTCGATACATAGCCTTCAAGTGTTCCTTGGTTGGGTTGTTCATAAATCTGCTTACCATGCTAATGGAAAAACCGATATCTAGTCTTGTATGAGAAAGGTAGATGAATTTCCCAACAAATCTTTGATATCTGCCTTTATCTATTGGTGGACTTCTTTCATTCCTACCTTATTCATTGTGTCCATAGGGGTGTCAGCAAGTTTGCATCCAAGCATTCCAATTTCCTTTAGTAAGACTAGGACATACTTACACTGTGAAACAGAGATGCCATTCCTTGAGCGAGCTACCACCATGCCAAGAAAATATTTAAGGTGTCCCAAATCTTTGATTTCAAATTCTTTGGCTAGAAGGTTCTTTAGGTTGCTAATTTCTTCCACATAGTCTCTAATAAGAATAATGTCATCCACATAGACAATAAGAATGGCTATTTTTCCTTCAAGTGAATGTTTGACAAACATGATGTGATCGGTCTAGCATTGTGAAAAACCATACTTCTTTACTACTTTTGTTAGTCTATCAAACCATGCATGTAGGGATTGTTTGGAACCATATAAAGACTTTTGAAGCTTACATGCCTTGCCAGAATTGTCCTAGTTTTTGAATCCTGGAGGGATTTTCATGTAAACTTCTTCTTTGAAGTCACCATTAAGAAATGCATTGTTGACATCTAGTTGGTGGAGTGGCCAATCTACATTTGCTACCAATGATAATAACACTTGGATTGAATTAAGTTTAGCAACCCCAGCAATTGTCTCCTCATAGTCAACACCATAAGATTGAGTAAATCCTTTAGCAACAAGGCGAGCTTTGAATCTGTTAATACTTCCCTCTGCATTGTGCTTGACAGTAAAAATCCATTTGCACCCAACAGATTTTTCCTTTTGGGTAGTTCTGAAATCTCCCATGTTTTGTTCTTTTCTAGGGCCTTAATCTCTTCCAAAACAGCCATCTACTATTTTGGTTACATGAGTGCTTCAAGAATATTATTTGGAATCTGCATATTGTTTAGTGTGATAACAAAAGCCCGATAACTAGGTGATAAACCTTCATAAGAAACCACATTACAGATTGGGTGTTGAGTACATAATCTCACTCCTTTCCTTAGAGCAATCGGTTGATCAAGATCATCAAAAGATTCAATTGAATCAGATTCAGTTAGAGTGTTACTTGTGTTGGTTTCAAGTATCTTTGGAATCAGTTCAGATGCTTGGTTTTGCTTTGAAGGTGTGTATTCTCCTATATTCTTTTGAGGTTTTTGTCTTCTTGAATACACAATCAATTATTTGTTTGTTTTCCCTTGTGTGGACTTCGGGCTTGGAGGATTTGGTTGGATGTTTTGGACTTGAAAGGGAGTTGGAGGATTTGGTTTGATGTTTTGGACATGAAAGGGAGTTTGGGAAGTGTTTGGTGGTTCGGTAATAAGATCTTCCCAAAACTGATATTCCCGTGTGATTGGATTCTCCCCCTGAATGGCGGTTTTGGGAAAGTAAAGTTGATTTTCAAAAAAGATAGCATTCACCGAATGGTAGAATTTCTTTGTTACTGGTGAGTAACACTTGTATCCTTTTTTATTCGGGGAGTATCGGAGAAATATACATTTGATGGATTTGGGATCTAATTTGCTTTGGTTTTGTTGGCTAGTAAGACCAACTGCAATGCATCCATACACTTTAATGAGAATAGACAAAATGATTCGAAGGTGAAGGTAGGAACTGAGAAGGGATTGGCAAGGGTTTTGAAATTTCAAGACTCGATAAGGCATTTTGTTTATAAGATATGTAGCAGTAAGAACAACCTCACCCAAAAAATGCTTAGGTACATGGGCAGCCATCATGAGGGATCTTGCAACTTCCACCAAATGTCAATTCTTTCTTTCAACAACGCCATTATGTTGAGGAGTGTCGACACATGAGCTTTGATGAATTATACCATGCTTCATTAAATATGATCCAAGAATTGAATTGTAGTATTCTCTCCCGTTGTCGGTTCTCAACACTTGGATCTTGGTTTTGAATTGAGTTTGGATCATATTGTTAAAGTTTTGGAATAGCTGGCCCACTTTTGATTTTTCCTTCGTAAGGAATACGCTAGTAACCCTGATGTGATCATCAATAAATGTGCCAAACAATCTAGAGCTAGTAATGTTATTTACATTAGAGAGACGCCAAATGTCACTATGTATAATTGAAAAAGGATGGGATGGCTTGTAAGGCTGATTAGGATATATGGTACGAGTATGTTTGGATAGGTGGCAGACTCCACACTGAAAGTTGTTAGGATTTTGATTGAATAATGAGGGAAACAATCTTTTGAGGTACAAAAAATTTGGATAACCTAACCGATAGTACCACAACATGATAGTACTATCTTTATTATTATTGGAGGATGAAACCACACAAGAGGTCTTTTGATAATCATTAGCTCTTAGGATATAGAGTCCTACACACATCTTAGCATTGCCAATCATCTTCCTCAAATCCAAATCCTAAAATTCACGCATATTTGGAAGAAATTTAGTAATACATTTAGGGTCTCTTGTAAGTTTGCTTATAAACAATAGATTGCAGTTTAGATTTGGGACAAACATAACAGAATCAAGTGTTCTCTCCTTGGAAATAATAATAGAGCCTGTACCAGTTACTTTTGTAAGTGACCCATCAGCAATTCAAACTGTGAAGTTTTCATGACATGGGTTGTATTTACTAAATATAGATGCATCCCCAGTCATATGGTCTGAAACTCCTAAATCCACAATCCATGAATTTGATTTCTCTAGTTTTACACTCAAAGCACTTAGAAAATTACCTTTTATGCTAAAAAAACTTGTTCGAATAGGAGTGGCAATGTTCTACAATGATTGAGAAATGCTAGCTCTGAGGTTAGAGGTAATCTTCGACACTGAGCTCTTCTTTCCGCAGGCCATGTTGGATTCCAAGTGAAAATTTTCAAAGATTTAGATCGTGCTTGATACCATGAAGAAATCTCTAGAATAAAACTTTTTTATTCTTCTATATTTTTCTTATTATAATGCTAGAATTGCATGAAAATATATAGGCTAAAGACTGAATATTCTTAGCCTTAAAACCTAAGATTTCATGCATTAAAACAGCTAAACAAAGGAGTTATTTACTCTCTACACATAATAGGAAAATATCTAATGGATTTGGTGTAATTACCTAAATCACTTCTCATTCTAAAAATAAGAGACTTAATTAAAATAGATAAAGTCAACTAATCAAGTAATAATGAAGATTAGATTTCCACACTTACGAATGCATTTGACCGTTGCTAAGGAATGTTTATTAAATATGCCTGATGTTTCTAACATGCAAGTAACTCATTCTTTGTTGGCCTATGTTGTTTTTCTTATCATTTTACCATACTTGGTTTAAGATGGAAGCATTGTACTTATTCCTTGCAGTTCAGAACTTTCCTGGCTCCTTTGGCTGGTCTATTCTCTAGTTAATTGCCGTACCTGTCCTTCAAAATTGTCTCATTTCAAAATTCTTCTTCCTCATACTCTTAAAAAACAAGTAATTAAAAAATAAAACAACTTTGTCAGTATCTTTTGGATTAGCCTTGCAAGTCCATGCTCATTTCATTTGAGGGACAAAAGGGGTTTACCATTGTTAGATCTTAATTTGAATCATACAGCTGGCAGGTGTTTTCTGTTGGTCATTGGAGGGCACCATGTTTGGTATTCTATAGATAGCTTTATCAGATTAGTAATACTGAAATGCATGAAGCTGTGGTAACAAAAGAAATTGGTGAAGTAGCCTTGAGAGTTGATGCTCGCTCTTTCATGCCTGTAGATTCAATCATTTAACACAAGACAGTTTTTGATATAGCTGATGCTTTTGAAACAACTACCTTTTCCTTTGACATGTCAATAGTTTGAAATACACCCACATATACTGGTCAAAATTGGCTCACTTCTCTCTTAAGTTTAGCTTTACTTTAAAATTTTGCAGCTTCTCTCCATCTTTTGTGAGTTTAATGTTTTTCTTACAAAGATTATGTGAATGATTCTTATCTACTTGTTTTTTTGTTTTTCTTTTCCTGCTAGACTTTGATAAATTTTGCTTCCGGTGGCTGCATTATTGGGATTCCTCTTCTCTTCTTGATGGCAATCTTGACCTTGATGCACTGTGGGAGGATGGTTTGGAGAAGATTAACTGAAAACCAAAGGCAGGGTAATTCATAACAACCACGAACTTCTTCAAGTTCTCCCTTTGTTTAGTTGCACCTGCACGGTTCCTACCTTGCAGGTGCTAGACATTGAAGCCAAGTAGGCACCTTTTTCAATGAAGTAAGTTTGCAACAGCTAAAACTTTTCATTCAAATCCGTATACAGTGGCTCCTTGTTTATGCATTTTGTTTATGTTTGCGAGGCCTGATGAAGTTGCGTAGTTTTGGTGTCTTCTTGCATCAATGTGTTTTTCTTGTATTTTTTGTGGAAAGTTCCTTCAACATATAGGGAATGGTTCAATGGACATCTATAGCTTTGTCTATCCTACTTGACAACAGTATTGTCACTTATTTTATACTTGTAACAACATGCTTTTCTTTCTATTTTCAGTTAGATCATATTGTGAAACCATAGGTTATGCTGTTTCATCCATTAGTAACTGAATCTGATGACCTCTTACTGATCACCGATAACTCTTTGCAAGTTTCCAAAATTTTCTTCAATTTGCATTTTCTTCCTACTTAATTCCTTGGTTTAGGATTGTGATTGGTGTTTGGAATTGTTGTTAGTTGGTGAATTTAACCCTAAATGCAATGTCAAATAAAATAAAGATTTGTTTATGATTTAAAATCTCAATTGTGGTGGATTTCATTTTTCAATGGAAAAACCAAATAGAAACTTGTTTTTAGAGAAGTATTGAATTTATTTTCGTTTGCATTTATGAATCACAAGCCACTAGGATATGTACTTACTGAACTTTTAAATAATTTTTTAGGCTCTTGTTGTTATTAGAAATCGAATTTTTTTTATTGAAATTAAGAATTCGATACTTTTTCAATAACTTGATAAATTTATAATTTTTTATTAAGTTTATTTTCAAATCTTTTCAATTTTAAAATTTGATTTTTGTGTCCTCTCTTCTTTTTTCTCTTCCTACCTAACTTTAACAAAGAAAGTACTTGTTCTTCTTGCTGTACACCCATCTCTTTCCATCCATCATCTCACAATTTATTCATATTTGGCAAGCTGGCGATAACGAAGCTTCAATCGCTGATATAGGTGTAAACGAACAAAGTTTTCATCGAACTATTCGTAAACATATTCAGTTTTTATTTGGTTATATTTGTTTATTAAACTTAACAAACGATCTTGAATAATATTTTTATGTTTGTTTCTTAAACTAATTGAACAAGAACAAAAGTTTATTTGGTTCAATTATGTTTGTGAACAAATTCGTTTAAAGTTCATTCGTTTATTATTCATTTATTGTTCGTTTGTTGTTTGTTTATAATAATATTAATAAAATTATTTTTTTATTTTTTATTTTAATCCTATTTTAAAGTTCATTTATGTTTATTTAAATTCGTATATGTTTATTTAAAGTTTATTTGTTTAAATTTATTTGATTATGATTTGTTTATTGTTCATAAATATGTTCATTTATATATGTTCGTAAACATATTCATTTAATATTCATAAATAAGTTCGTTTAATTTAATTGAACGAACATCAATAATATATTATTTAAACAAACGAACATAAATGAACAGATTAATTTCTTTTAACGAACACGAATTGAATACAAACACCTTTTAAAATAAACGAACAAATACAAATATACATTCATCCGTATGTGTTCAATTTGATTACAACTCTAGCCTTCAACAATATTACAATATAAAAACGACCAAAAAATGATAATTTAAAATTTTAATTAAAATTATTAGTTTGATAAAAGCAAAACATATATATTTTATATTTAATATATCGATATAAATTATGATAATAATTTTTATATTTTATACAATATAAATACAGTATATCTTATCGAGTTGATTGTTCAAAGAGATCCAGTTAAAAAAACAATATAACAAAGAATTAAATTTTAGATTTTGAATTAACTGTTTATTTACATTTAAACTGGAAAAAAAAGGAAAAAAATTAAGAAAAAAATACAAGAGACATGGTAGAAAAATCAGCCTTCTGTGATATCCCAACTTCATTATTACTACCAAAAGAATTGAAACAAATTCTGATACGAATTACACCAATAGGACAAAAATAAAAGACAATGTAATTAGTTCACCAGGCATTGTTTTCACAGTTCTGAACTTCGACTCACTTGAGAAAGAACTTCCAAATATCTGTATCAGTCACCTCTTTGATTAAATGAGCTCCAAAAATGCCTTCTTCATCAACTAGACTTCTGAGATGCCGTGCTGCATTGTTGAAGCCGACATAATTCTTCTTCGTTGCCATGTATACGACTCCATATGGAGGCCTCAGACACTCGTCGTTCATAAATGAGTAAAGCTATGTCAGGACATTAGCAGTAGCAACGGCAACAATGAAACAATGATACTATTCCCAATTATTTCCAATTATATTTTACAATCTTGCACAAAATGGACAATGACATGAAGACCGAGCTTCCCTTCTTTTCTTATTCATGGAACACAATCTTTTTTCTTGCTTTAAAGAATGTCATCAAAGTTGTAAGTAATAAAGCGAGCAATGTGAAATTAAGAAACTAACCTTCTTAATAAGTGCATATAACTTCTTCAAGGAGGGAAGAGAATATGGAATTTCTGTCATCAAAATAACATCATAACCACCTTCTCCCTGATCTGTCTCACTAGCTCTTTCCCACGCCCGGCTTCCCGAAAGTTTTCTTGTCCGCCTTGAGGAAATTTCCTGTGCTATTATGCTACCATCTTGGCTACTGCATGCATCCATGAAATCCTCCTCGGAGAAGCTCAAGCTCATTCCTGTAGTCACTTCAGACACATCATTCCGAACGACAGACAACAAAGTAGGGAGTTCTTCCCAATCCCCTGCGTAGAAGTTCACTGTTGGGGCAAGAGTTTGTCTGGATGGAGTCAAAGGACTCTCAGGCTGTCGGCTCTGTCTGTCCCGAGCTTGCTCAAGGTTTGCAAGAACATTTGGGATGGTAGTGCATCTAATAGTTTCTGCACTGAGGTCTTGGAAGTGCACTGTACAAGCTCCCTGAACCAACAAATGAATAAAATGGAGCGCAAGTAGATCTTTCATAAAAATAAAATTGCTCTTCGACTATTTCTAGCATATAATATGAGCTGGTTGCTCTCATTTAGCTGACTATTTCCAGCATATAATATGAGCTGGTTGCTCTCATTTATCCGATCCCCCCCCCCCCCTACTATATATTATATTCCCAATCTATTAATAGATGATGCCGTTAATATCATATATAATTAATAAGATAAAAGAGATACAAACAGCACATAGGAGGAACAATCGAAGATCAATACCTTCAGACAAGCAAAAATCCCAGGAAGTCCATAGCCACAACCCAACTGTAAGAATTATCGAATGGGATGATTAGCTCATATTCTATCAAGAGCTACAAAACAGACAAATTAATTCCTTAACTCTAACGATATTATTCCATACATGAAATAAGAACTTGCAGAGAAGCACATGAGCCAGGAAGCTTATAACATCTAGAAATATTCTAAACGTGGAAAATCACGTTTGAAGTTGCCTAAAGAGAATGGAAAAGAACAAAGATATTCTAGTGTGCATTTATGTTGATTAGTTCAAGCTGAACATAACAGCCAAAATTGTTTTCTCCTCTGAGTACATTTACTGAACATTTTAGGTTCACCTGTTCAACAATATCATCAAATGGACCTAAAACAAGTTTTCTATAACTAAAAGGAAAACACTGATACATCAAAAGTAAATTGAAGGAAATCAGACAAATGCTACATGCTGTGGTGGCTAATGTTTTCAGATTTTTCTATGATTAATTACCTCAAGCACCCTTTTCCCTCGAAAGCTCAATTGTCCATCACGAATCTCATGCTTAAGGATGTTAACAAGATCGATAGAGCTGTCCCAAGATTTCAGAAACCCTGCAAAATAAAATTATTTTACAGCTGTCAGTTACAACTATTCAATTTGACAAGTCAAGACTTGAACTAACATCAATACTTTAGTCACAGTTAACATAAATTTTTACATAAAAAGTAACATTCATTAAAATTAATGCATAGCTAACACACCCTACCATCAGGTTTTGAGGATGTCACTTCGGAACCAGTTAAACCAATAATATCAGCGACACTAACTCTTCCCTGTAAAAGGTTGAAAAAGCATCAGCATGCATATCACAATCCTTGTTTTCAAAACACTGCTACTGAATGGACAGCTATAAATAAAAACACATCTATGTGTGGATGTGAATGAGGGAAGAGAGCGAGGGAAGTCTACTCTAACAAAAAATATTACAGTGAGCAAGAACATAAGGAAGCTGCCCTGATAAAGCAATGCAAAAAGAAGTCAACATACTTTGAATACTTTGAGCCCTTGCAAGTCTACATTATCCCCAGCATACTTATAAGGATGAGCTGTCTGCACAACAAGAAAACTTCTTAATTTTGAATGCCAATTCAATCGCCTCCCAGTCATTCAAAATAATAAACCATCTCATTTGTATGATGGTCAACCATTTGTATCTTCATTATCAAATTTAAATTTCACAACTAGTCCTTAATAGGGAGATGAAATTAACCTTTGAAGGGACAATCTCCACAGCCGGGGAAGGCAGATGGACATCTCTCTCTGATACGGTGGACATGCTTTGGCTCCCTCGGTCTTGGGGCACTAAGCCAGGCAAGCAATGTGCAAGCAGTGATGGAGCACGCATCTTGGTCTAGTAATAGGAAATAGTTATTAAGAAAGAAGATCCTGAAGACATCAAAATTTCCGCTAATATGCAGATCATTCCTTGTAGAAATCATTACTACCAGCCATAAGAACCCGTTTGAAAATAGATCACAGTCACACAACAAAAGGAATAAGGAGAAAAAAAGACATATCCTAATCCATCATGAAAGGATTGCAGTGACATTTGGACAAGAAGAAAATTTTTGTCATAAAAAGAACAACTTAATCAAACATAATAAAAATGAAATGTTCATAGCATTCGAACAAAATTCAACCTATAAAGACCAAAACCAAATTACCAAACTTTCTAAAACATGAAAATTTCAGAAAATTAAAACTAACCCACATTAAAATTATATAAGAAAACAAAAACCCAGAAGCCAAAAACTATAAAAAAAAAAAAAAAAACACTTACCCAGAAAGGAGAAATGATCAGCAAACAATCTTCTAACAAAAAATTTAATTGCTTCAGAAAAAAAGGGAATTTATTTTCTTTTATGTTACAAGTAAAGGTCAAAGCTTTGTAATTTCTAAGAAAAGAGATTGCTCGTCACATTGGAAAGTCAAAAACAAAAAGATAAAAAAAAGCGGATGACTCACTTTGAGAGAGTCAGAGTTAGGAGAGGTAGGAGGAAAGAAGCTTCGATTTCAGTCTTTGTTTCACTTTTAACAGTTAAATTCCTATTTTAACCCTATGTTATTGTTACTAATGAAGAAAGATATTATCTATCTATACTTATTAAATAAAATAAAAATATTAACGTATTTTATTTTTTAAAATAAAAAATTTTAATACATTTTTTAAAAATATCACTCATCAATAACATTTATCTTTATTTTTTCAAAAATTTTATTTTTTTAAATTTATTACTTTTCTCGCACACGATAAATTTATCAAAATCTAGTTTAATATTATTTACATGAAAATTATATGTAGTTTAAAAAGGAAAAAGTTATATTTTAAAGGAGAAAAATAGGTAAAAGAAATATGAGTAATTTTTCAACATGAGAAGATATATATTTTAATTTTATATTTATTATAATAATTTTATTTGATTTTATAATTTTTTTAATCTAAATTGATATCACTTGATAACTAATATTAAATACAATCAAAATACTATTAATATAATAAATACTAAAATTTTTTATGAAATTTTTTTATTGAAATGAGTGTTTTTTCTTAATCACAAAAACAAAGTGATTAATAACAATTTTCACCCTTTTAACCCTAAATTTTAATCACAATGAAAATGCCATAATTAGTAGTGTCGTTTTGGTAAATAAAGTTAAATGCAAGGGCGTTTTATGTTTGTGAATTGCAAAAGCGTGCATGGCAAGTCCATACAACCCAACGTCTTTTTGTTATTATTATTATTATTATTATTATTATTATTATTATTATTATTATTATTATTATTATACTATATATTGATAGTAAAAATCTAAAATTTAATAAATAAAATTAAAAGAATTAATATGTAATTATTTATTAATTAAAATCTTAATAGTCATAAAAATATTCTATTAAAATACTTGTCAATATCACTCTTTGAATTATATTTTTAATTTTTAAATTATATAATAAAAAATAATATTTTATCGTTTCGAAAAATTCATACCATTTACTTCATCTTATGAATTCAAAATCAAAGCTCTAAATTATAATACTTAGAATGTCCAATAAAAGGAAATTTCAATCTTTTATGAAACTTAAAACTGTTTTATTGCCATATTCCTAATTGCATAATGTATTTATGGGTAATTAAATTTGTTATGATGAAAATAACACTTTGATGACAAAATTATATTCAATTTATATTAGTAGAAAATTTTATTAAATTTGGAATTTCTACCATAATAGTAGGGCATTTTATATATGAAAATTGGATACTAATTTAATTAAAAAAAATTTTATTCAGATTAGGTTTTTTTTTGTATAAAAAATAATAAAATTAGTAATTTTTATTGAAAAATAATCCAATTTTGTTATCTTCATAAAAACTCCATTTTCAATATTCCAAACTTTGTAATGTTATTCCTAATTTATTTGACATTTTTTCTTCATTTTCATGTAGAACATGAAGAAGAGAAAGAAGTTTGAAAATTATTTTTCTTATCAGATAAATTAAAATGTATTTATTCATTAAAACTGAATTAAATAGAGAAATTGTTTTATTTGTAAATGGATATATATTTTTAAATATATATTAAAATAAAAATAATTAAATATATATATATAATTTTTAATGCTGCCTATGAAATTAAAAATTTTCAAAGGAATCCCATTAAATATAAGCCTTACTCTTTTCTGAAAAACCTTAATTAAATAAATGCAAGTAGTAAGAGGAATTTTCTTAGAATATATTCCTTCGTTCTATGTCAAAATCAACTTGACAAATTTTTGAAGAGATTTAATGAATTGACTTGACCAACATATCACCATTTTATTTCTTTTACGAGACAAAATTTAGATGAAGTGAAATTTGTGAATTTTTTTAAAAAATTAATTTTAATAAAAAATTCAAATAAATAGATTGAAAAAATTAATGTAAAAATTAATAAAATATTAAAAATATAGTTAATAATTTAAATTTAATTGATATTTATTTAAATGTAAAATTTCTATCAAAATTGTTACTAAAAATGATTATCTAAAAAATATACCAAAATTTATTAAAATTTTTTCAAAATTTGTAAACTTGATTTATATAATAAGATTTTTTAATTTTTTAATTTTTCAATTTTGATTTTTAATTTTGATTTTTATTTAATAATTTTTTATTTAAAAAAATTTTCACAAACTTTATTTAAAGAACTCCCACTTTTGCTAAGACTACAAATAAAGTTCCACAAAAAAATTTTTGTAACTTTTTAACTTTTAACTATCCAATAATAAACTAAACAAAATTTTTAGTCATAGAAAAAAAAATAATTAGAATTTGTTTTCATAAATTATATATAATCAATAATATAGTTTATTTAATTTTAATGATAAAATATATTTAAAAATAAAATATTATTAATATATATTTATACTATTTTATAATAAATATAAAATAAATGAGCAAATTAGATCCAATCATGCTTAATTTTTCAAAATAATAATCCAAAGATCCACTTAATTTAATCTAATCTTATCTATGAACACTTTACTCTAAAAGTCGTCAAATGCAGTCAACCTATAACTTGGTAGGTGATTGTCTAAATTCAAAAGATATACTAAAATTTGAAAGATTGTTCAAACTTGATTTGTCAAAGCCTCAACCTTTAACTTTAATATTGTTATTATCATTCAAACTACTTCACCGAGGAGGAAGAGTCCTTCTTGACTTGAGTTTTGCCTGCAAAGAGTAACAGCATCAACAATTGAAAGGATACAAAACCATATGCCATAAGGTGTTATCATAAACTATAATTACTTCGATTTTCACAAATTTTATTGTCGACTCATAAAATTTCAAGCCACCACTCTTCAAAGCGTCCACAAATATAAAATAGAAGGTTACCCTTTTTGTATTTTAGATGTGATTGTAATTTGACGATAAAAAAATTAAAATCTTCATATCAAAATGAAAAATATTTTGCAAATCAGGTGTGATTAATCTTCACAACAACAACCATGAAATTAACCTTTCATTGGCTACTAAGATCAAAGTGAAACCGACTCGTCCCTCCCAATTGTCACCTGTAATCCCAAACCATTAGTATAATGCATCTCCCATAGTAAAAATACCCTCAAAATGATTCAATTTTGTGCTTGTGTTATTTATTTATTCATTTTTCATTTTTTTTACCATTTAATAAAATAATATTTTTTAATAAATTTAATCAAAAATATTAATTTGGCATTAAAGATTATATATGTAGAAAAGGAATTTCCAAAAACAAACAAAAAAATTCCTAGAGATTTGAGTGGTTCTTGTAATAAAGCACTAAAATCCCAAAATTTCTCTGTATTTATAACCATAATCAACGACCTTAATGTTAAAGATAACGGTATTTGAACTGTCCTAAGAAAATGGTGGGACAAATCTAACAAAAACCAATAACTTTCTTCTCAAATTCCTTCAACTCCTCTAATAAACCAAATTTAGTCTCTTTTCCTCTCTTTTCCTTTGCTAGGCTTTACATTTTCCTTCTCTAGCCAAAAAAAAATCTCTTTCTTCCCATGGGATGTTTTATGATCTAAAACATCAAACCAAATCAACCCTAATTTAACTCAATCGATCATTTTCGTCGTCACTGCCATCCCATGGGAAGTTGCATGTCAACACCAACAAAGCTAGTAGGTGTAATATCAAAGAAATATTATTATTCATCGAAAGCAAAATCCAAACATGGACGTTTGGATTACGATGGGGTACGAAAATCGTTAAGCCTACGTGGGAGCAATGGTAAGGTTTTGAAAGATCCATCAGGAGACAATATTTTGGAGAGATACGAGTTGGGAAAAGAATTAGGGAGAGGAGAGTTTGGGATCACACATCAATGTTTTGATTTAGAAACGGGGGAAGCTTACGCATGTAAGAAGATATCGAAGGCAAAGCTGAGTACGGAGATCGATATCGAAGATGTAAGAAGGGAAGTTGAGATCATGAAGCATTTGCCTAAGCATCCGAATATTGTAACCTTTAGGGAAGCCTTTGAGGATAAAGAAGCTGTTTATCTTGTTATGGAGCTTTGCCATGGAGGTGAACTTTTTGATAGAATTGTCGCTAAAGGTCATTATACAGAACGAGCTGCTGCTACCGTTATCAAGACCATTTTGGAGGTTGTCAAGGTTATCCATCAATCTCTTCTATCTTTAATTTTGTTCTTCTTTTTTCCCTTTATTGTTGAGATTTAGTAACAAATTATTGATATTAAGAGATATCCCATTTATAAGTAATCATACCATCATTATTCATATATATAATTTCTAGTTTCAAAATGACAAGATTTTTCCTTTTTGCTTATTATTAGGTTTGGAAAAAAATAGATAATGTATTTTTTTATTAAAAATTATGGGGTAAATTATTGAATAGTTAATGAATGTGCTTGGGAATTTTATTATCAAATTGATGCATTTGGTTCTTTCTTGGCTCACAAATTAATTATTTGGACTTTAAAATAATGTAGATTAAAATTTTCAATTATGTATTTGTTGATTTTAGAGCTTGAAAAGGCTGGTTTTTACTTCTTGAAAGTCATTAACAAGCAAACTATAGAAAGTAAAAAAAATAATTTTTTGATTAAAAGGAACAAACAATGAAAAGGAAAAAAAGGCAATTCATCAATTGATTAATATAATTGTTTTAGATGAAAACAAGTAATATGCAATTTTTGCCCTAAATTTTATGAACTCTTCATAACTTTTGTTGCAATATGCAAATTTCATAGCAAAATTTTTATTTATTAACTCTTCATGGTAAATTTCATAGAAATATGCAATTGATTAATATATAATCTATGATCTATGTAATATTTGTTGCAGGTGTGCCATGAACATGGGGTGATACATAGGGATTTAAAACCTGAGAATTTCTTGTTGGCAGATGGAAGAGAAACTGCCCCAATTAAAGCAATTGATTTTGGCCTCTCAATATTCTATGAACCTGGTAAGCTTATACGAACCTTCTACCTTTTCTTAAATGACTCTTTAGCAGACAGCGAATTTCATCGTATTAGCATAGCCTAATTTGTCATGTTGATTGAACATATATGATTTTAAACACGAAACAGTAAGACAATATGATACATTTAGCAGAATTCACATAGTGATTAAAAAGGCTTAATTGGTGTTGTTGTAAACATGTCTGAGCATCCTATCTCAATCATCAATGGCAGGTCAGCGTTTCAGTGACATTGTTGGAAGTCCTTATTACATGGCTCCAGAGGTTTTAAGAAGAAATTATGGGAAGGAAATTGATATATGGAGTATAGGTGTTATCCTGTATATTTTACTTTGTGGAGTTCCTCCCTTTTGGGCAGGTAAATGAATTCCTTTTCCATTACTTGCAAGATTTTTGGGCAAAACTATGTGTTTGATGCCTTCTAACAAAGGTATTGGCTATGGCTAGTGCAGACACTGAGGAAGGAATTGCACATGCAATTATAAAAGGAAACATAGATTTCGAAAGGGATCCTTGGCCTAAGGTTTCTGATAAAGCCAAGGATCTTGTTAAGAGCATGCTTGATCCGAATCCATATAGTCGTATGACGGTTCAAGATGTCCTTGGTATGTATCCTTATTGATACATTCAAGTACAAATCACCTCTATATATTTAAATTGCCAATCGTGTCATCATGTCATGTTTTAAAGACAAAAGTCTATCCCAAATGCATCACAGCTAGCTTGATGTATTGATTTTTATAAAGAGCAGGCCAATCTCTTAGTTAGATACATAAACTATTGATGTTAACTATTGGATTGATAGACTAATAATTTTCTTGTGTGTTATATGAAGAACATGCTTGGATACAAAACTTGGAACATGCTCCAAATGTTAATCTGGGAGAAAATGTGAGAACAAGGATTAAGCAGTTCTCCTTGATGAGTAAATTCAAGAAGAAAGTTTTGAGGGTAAGCCTTCCTGTGTTTAATGTGGATTTATCCAGGCCCTTAGAAATGTCACGTCTCTTCATTCCAGGTGGTAGCAGACAATTTGCCAAATGAAGAAGTCGATTCAATTATAGAGATGTTCCATATGATGGACACTGATGAAAATGGAGACTTATCGTTCGAGGAGCTGAGAGATGGCCTTCAGAAAATTGGACATTGTGTTGCTGATCCTGATGTGCGGATGTTAATTGATGCAGTAAGTTCAATTCATTTTAAAACTCAGTTCCTACAAGGGTTTGCTTGCTCGGATCATGTTTTTGCTTCTCATAGTTATTAGAATCAAACTTTATCAATAAATGATTGGCTCAAGTGACAAAGAGAGTGTACCCATCTTTGTTGCTTAGATTTCGAATCTGTTGAGAAATTATTGGAAGTTATTATTTTATGAATTTGCTAAACTCGGCATAAATAAGCTTATTTAAATCGATTCAAAGAAAAGATGTACTGGATAAAACCCAAGAACCCCATTTCTGTTTAAAAAATTTTAAACTTTTTCTTAATTGAACTACTATTACCAGAAACATTTTCTTACCAAACTCTGCCATATCTGAAATTCTTTCTCTGATTTCTTATCTGAAAGGCGGACATTGATGGAAATGGCACACTTAGCTGTGAGGAGTTTGTCACAATGGCAGTTCACCTGAAAAGGATTAGCAACGACGAGCATCTCTCCCAAGCATTCCGTTACTTCGACAAGAACCAAAGTGGTTATATCGAATTCGAAGAATTGGAAGAAGCATTGCTGCCAGACAACCATGGTCCCAACAATGAACAGCTGATCAAGGACATAATGCAAGATGTCGACAAGGACAAGGTGATCCTTTAAAAAAAAAACAATAACTTTCAATGCCTAAGATTAATCCAACTTGGAGAATTTTATAACTTTCGTCCATTTTGTTTGCATTGATTTGATTTTTGTAGGATGGTCGAATCAGTTACCAAGAGTTCAAGGCAATGATGCTAACTGGCATGGACTGGAAAATGGCTTCTCGCCAATATTCAAGAGCAATGCTAAATGCAGTGAGCATCAAAATTTTAAGACAATCTGGCCAACTAAAGTGACAAAATTTTCCAGGCTGAAAGAGATTGTTGTGTTTTAGATATTGCAATGGGAAGTGGGAAGTGGGAAATTTCCAATATATCTGAGTTTTATAGAAAGGATATATGTCATAGTGTTTTACATAGATAAATAGAGTTGTTTCACTGAGATAAGATTATTAGCTCCTGATGTTCATGAAGGTTTTGTTTTGATCAAAGGAAGCTGAAGTACTGAATTTTTCATTGATATGTTAATCTGTAAATTGTTTGAAGAACACCTTTTTTTTTTTTTTTTATCTAAAATGATTAATTATGTTCCAGCTTATTTGGATATACTCAAGTTTTGTTTACCATAAACTCAAAGAGAATCTTTAATATAAATTTCGTTCTTATCTTAATTAATTCATATAAACATCCTTACGAAATGATTTTTAATATATATAAATTTAAATTTTAATACATATAAATTATAACTTTTTCTATTCTCAAATTACAACTTCATTTATAAAACTAAAAAGTGAATCTTTAATATAATAAATTGTACAAAGACATGGAATTGCAGCTTTAATGAAGACACAAGGCTTCTGATCATAATATATTTGTTAAACCATTGGTTAAGATCATATTTATAAAAGAAAATTACAATTAAATTATTGTTTTTATTAATTTGATAAAAATAATACATTAAATTAATTTTTTAAAATAATATTTTTATTATCTTTAATTAGTGTCTAATAAAAAGTTATTAGACATATATATATATATATATATATATTATCAGCATATTTCTTATTACTATATAATCCTATATTTAGATTGAGCCCAAAATGAAATAACCAAGTAATATTTTTATATTAATATTTTAAAATTAAAATTAAATTAAATAATTATTTAATAATAAAATATAATCATATTTTAATTTAAATCGAATTGGAAATATCTTGTTTAAAACCCAATTTTGAACCAAAATTGACTAACTTGACAAGGTTTTTTAATCCTAAACAAATTTAATTAATCTTAATATTTAAATTCCAAACATGTATTTAAATTTTCTAAGTTCCAACTAACGAATTTTCATTTTCAAAAACCATGTCAAAACAAGCTTCTCATCTCAATCTTCTTTAACCACATCAAAAACAAAAAAAGCAGACATTACATATAACATTTATATTGTGGCGATTTATATTAATTTATGAAATATTATTTGTTTTGATTTATTATATTTTATGATTTTATTTTATAAAAATATTTTACAAAAAGTGTTTTACAAATTCAAAATAATGTGAATATTTATATCTCAAAACTGATTTAGTATACAATTGATGTGAAATTTTTTATTTATTTCTAAAACTATAATATCCTCTTACTTTAATAATACATAATCGATGTGAAATTTATAATTTTTTTTTAAATTATAATATATTTCTTACTCTAATAAATATTCACCATCTTTGGTGATATATCATTAATATTTAAAATTAATTATAATATTAAATGTCACTGTTTGTATTAATTTATAAAATGTTATTTATTTTAATTAATTAAATCTTATAATTTTATTTTTAAAATATTCATAAATTAAAAATAATATAAAAATTTATATCTCCAATTCAATTCTAATATAGAATCCATATAAAATTTATGATTGTTTGGTAAGATCACGACATATAGCATGTACGTTTGAATTGGGTAGGCACGAAGGAGCACAAATCATGTCATATTGGGCGAGGAAATAATTGCATACACAAACAAGGTGGTGACATTTTTGTAAAATATGGAGCCGACATCTTGAGAGCCACACAAATAGATCGAATATGACATTGATGCAATATTTCCCTACCATTATTGCATGGGAAAACTGTTTTCTGCCCACGTGCCATTTTTGAGACTTTCAACTTTTAAGACATTAATAATAATAAAATAATAATAATAATAAATTAAAAAATATGAGTTAAAGTTAGTGTGATAAGGATTGGATCGAAATAAATTTTTACTTGTTTTAAAATCGATTTGAATCCGATTTAATAAATTTTTTATTATTTTTATATTTGAATTCAACTTAATTTGATATTATATAAAATCATTTGACTCGATTTAAAATTAATAAAATATTATTTTTTAAATATAAAATATTATTTTTAATATAAATATAAATTTAAATATATATATAATATATATAAATATAAAATTAAATAAAATAATTAAAAAATAATTTTTATATGTATTAAGTTGAATTTACTTAAAACTCGATCTTGACACAACAAATTTCTTTTATACCATCCAAATAGATCCGATACTTGATTTAAAAAAAATTTTAAAAAATCAAATCAAATCGAATCGAAACACATCAATTTTTATATTTTTTAGTAAGAATGAAAATTATTTATCATTGCATTATTATAAAAAAAGTCAATTGATTGATGTTTATAAATATTAATTAAACATAATTAAGATATTATTTTTTTAATCATAAAAAGTAATTATTATGTTAAAAATTTAATCATAAATTTTATTCTAACCAAATTTAAATAACTTATAAAAAACTAATGCATCATTTATCCTTTTAATCATTCCATCATTGTTATTATTTGGTAAGGACAAAGTATTTTGTAATGTCAAAGAAATAAACAAGTGGTGTGCAGAGCTTACAAATGGTTGGTGACCGTGACACCAAATGTCTACATTTGTATGGTAGCAAATGTTTATTGTCAACAGCTTTGCGTGCAATTTCTTGCTCCCATGAATCTTGATATTGTCGTAATTCTCATTTTTTCTATCTTACAAAATTTTTTATATATAATATTAAAACATTCACACGAGTCAAATCAAATCCAATACAGAAATTCTTATCCAAACTCTACGCAGCCAAGGACATAAAAATGAGCTATTGGCTCCTGAACAAATTTATTAGCATTCTAACGATGCAGTTAAAAGGCTAAAATCCTAATACTTCGATGAACCACTAAATTTTAAAATAGTTAATTGTTTTAATGTAGAATTAAAAAAATAAAAAGATTTTAATTATAATAATTGATTATATTTTGTAAGACAATAAATTATTATATTCAATCTTATCATATTATTATATTTATATATAAACACATATTTTTTTCATTTATTTTAATTTCAATATTATAATACATAAGGTATAAATAATATATTAATATTCATAAATTATTTAAAATTTAATTTTTAAATTCAATTTAATTATTATTAAATTAAATTTAAATTCAAATAATTTAATTTATTAAATAAATTAAATTTAAATATTATTATATTTAATTTTAGCTCATAAATTTAATTAATTTTTTATATTTTAATATATTTTAATTAAAAATTATTATTTTAATTATATATTTATCAATTTAAATTTAAATAATTTAATTTTTATCTCCAATCAAATTTAAATTTAAAAATTAAACTTTAATCAAACTAAAATAAAATTTTTAGCAACAAATTTCAAATTAAAACTCAAACTTTTTAATACCACCTCAAGTAAATTACACCTATGATAAATGCCGCTATTTTTAATCTCAAATGCAAGTTCGATGCTTGAATGTTTGTTAAGCAAGCAACACTGTCGGATAATTACTAAGTGGGCTCTTCCGTATGATCCTGACGTGAGATTAAGGAAATTACAGAAAGAAATGAGCCATTGTTCTACCTCCAATGGAACACGTGGAGGCACTGCTACACCATGTTTCATGGTTATCATTTTAACAGCGGCGTGTCGGCACGCACCATCGAAGTTATGTCTGGATTTTGAAGCGGCACGTATCTAAATAGAGCGACATGACTCGAAAGAACTGAGCGTGCTTCACACGATTGGAATCACAAGAGGGGAATTTTATTTGCACCACCGACACTTTCTTCTTTTTTTTTTTTGAACTTTTTATAAATAAAATTATTAAAATATCTTTCTTATAAATTTTATAATTTTTCAAAATAAATTTTCAAAAAATATAATACTTTTCAAAATACATTTTCGAAAAATCATAACATTTTTATAAATGAAATTTTATAAAAAATTACAAAAATTTTATTAAAATTATTTGGAAATAGATGCAATAAAAAAACTATTTTTAAAGAAAAAATAATAAACAATTTTTTTAGTTATTAAAATTTTATAATAATTTTAATTAAATTAAATTCTTTGAAGAAGTATCTTTATCTACTTATCATAATAATTTTTTTTAATTAACATATTAAATTTTGATAAAATTATAAAATATTTAATAATATTACTATTTTTTTATTCATAAAAATATAATATTAGTCAAAAAAATCTTTAATTTTGAATTAATTCTAATTCTTTTAAGGACCTTCCCATTGATTCTCAAATTTGTATAAGATCGGAAATATAACAATAATGATTTTTTAAAAAAAATTTTACTTTTTGAAATTTTCATAAAAAACCCTAACAAGAGGGATGTGTATTTTAAATCAAAATAATAAAAATAATTTTTTAATTATTTTTAAAAATTATTATTTTTAATTATAACTATTTTCATTAACTAATTTATAAATTTTTTAACAATATTCTCTTTTTTAAAATTTTTATAAAAATTGTTTTTTTCAAATTTATTTTTGAAGAGTGTTATCATTTATCGAAAAAGTTTTTCCAAAAATATTATGAGTTTTTAGAAATGTATTTTTGAAAAGTATTATGATTTTTTAAAATTTTTTTTCAAAAAGGGTTTTGATTTATTTAAAAGAGTGAATATTCAAAAATTAATAAAAATATATTTTTTAAATAATTTATTTTAAAATTTTTAAAATAAAACAAAAGCGAGAACGCATTTAGAACTCGCCATCATAGGAACACCATGATTGTTAATAATTATAATGTTAAGAGTTCGAGCAGTGCCAGAGCCCAGAAGCGAGTAACTTTACTGTACCTACTCGAGAGATTACGTCTTACTCTGTCTTACTTTAATTATTCCTAAAATCCTACAGTAAATAGTAAACTCCACGTTTTTAGCATTACCCATGTCTTCTCTGCTTACGGATAATTTTTGTCCAGAATATATCACGCGTAGTTGTTTTTGTTATAATTTTATAATTATTTAATCATAATAAAAAATTATATAAAATTTATTATTTACAGGTGTAAGTTTTATATAATTATAATTATAATTAATTATATATATTATAATTATTATATGTAAAATATTTTTTTTGCTCTCATTTATTTTTATATAAATCCAAAACTATGTATTTTAAAAACTTATCCATTCTTCAAAGAAATAGGTAAGATATCTACAGACAGTGACATTGTGATATCGATAAGAACGAGCGAAATAAATTTTAAAATATAAAAAAATAAAAATTTTGACACATATCCAATAGATGTGTAACACCTATAAAATATAAATAGTATTTTATTTAATAATTAATTAATTATAATTTAAAATTATGTGAAGTTTATAAAAATTTTATGTAAAATTCATATTTGTAAATGATGAATTTTATATAATTTATTGTTATTATTAAATAATTATAATATTTTAATAAAAATTTATAAATGATTTACTTTCGTTACAATGAAATTAGAAAAAGAAAGTTATTGGTTATAGATGGATTAAGAATGAATGATTAAAGTTTGGTATTTTATATAAATTTGAAAATATTATAAAATAAATTTTAAAATTAAAATTTTAATACTCTATCAATGTGGCTGTGGACAAATATGAAAGTTTTGATCACTTCAAATTACTACAAAATTTTGATGTAATTAATCATAATTAAATTATAATTATGAAATTTTTACTTATAATAAATATATAAAATATAATTATAATTATAATAAAATTAAATTTTAACTAATAGTTATGATTTCATGGTCGACTCTCACTGTTTCGTTCATAATCGTCCTTAATTTCACTTTTCCATTTCTTTAGTTCTCACGGTCTCTTTCTCTCTTGCAGGCGAAAAGGGAAGCGACTTCCTCAAAACGCCAGGATTTCTCTGGGAAAATCAAATTGGATTCTTATTTTGTTGGAAAGAAAAAAGAAAAAAAGGATCAACGTTTTGAGTTTTAAATGCATGTTTTGTTTCATTGGTTAATCATTTTATCGAGTTTTGACTAGAACTCAAGAACAAATTATTTGTTTTTTTTTCTGGGTATAAGGGAAATTCTTGATCCTTGAAAACTCGATTAACTTTTCTTTATAATCTTGAATTCTTCATTGTTGGGTCAGAAGAAAGAAAAAAAGAAAAGGTTGTTGGGAATTAGCTGAAAACCAAATTGAGAAAGTTTTGAGAATTGGGATTTGGGAATTAAATTCCTGGGAATTTAATTGTTTTTTTCTTTCTTTTGTTTGGTGGGGTTGAATTTTCATTACTAAAGAGTAAAGAGAGAAAGGAAAAATGACTCTAAATTCATTGCCTGGGAGTTCAGGGTATCTGGATTTGTTTCCAGAAAGAAGAATGTCATATTTCAGTAATCCTTATGTTTTAGGACTTACTGTCATTGCTGGTATTGGTGGCTTGCTCTTTGGCTATGACACAGGTATCAATCCCTTTCTTCCCTTCTTTCTTGTTTTAGTTTTTTTCTTTTTTCCTTTTTTTTGTCTTCATGCAATTTGCTTTGATTCCTCTGGATGAAAAGATTTGTATTTATTAGTTGATGAAACTAAGTTCTGTTTGAATTTATTGATTGTAGCAGCAGAATTGGACTGATCTAAGGCATTGGAGATCCTGTGAACCAGGAAAAAAAAAAGCAAGTAATTTGAAAAAAAAAATTTATCTCAAATTTGGAATTTAAATAAAGAAGTACTATTAATTTAACATGATTATATAATAGAATTTCATTGAGTTGCTCAATTCAAATGATTTTTAAGTAACTTAAAGTTCTATTCAACTTTAACTCTTACTGTATTTTTTTTCGTTTCTAAAAAAGACTTTTACCCCTTTTAAGTACTAAAAAGTAAAAACATTTTGAAAAAAAATTATTTTTTTAACAAATGAAGTCCTAGCCTAGGAATAAAGTAAAAGATTGTGTGTGTCCAGATTTAAACTCAAATCTGTTGGATGCGTGATTGTATGAATCTATTGAGTTAAGTTTTAGATTCTAAAAAAAATTGGTTTTGTGGTTTACTAAGTATACCATTATCTTTCTATCCAATCCGGGATTTCATTTGGGTGTGTGTGATATCTTCCTTCAATTTGGTAAAAGAAAACTGTTAATCACGCTGAGTTATCTAGATTTCTTATAGAAGTATCAGAAATTTAACTGAATGAAAAAGGAAGACATGCTTTTCTTCATTTCTTATTCTGTTTATATTTTCCCCTTTCTTTTGCAGTTTTTTTTTTATTCTCACAAAATGTTCTCGCTTGGAATTGGTAACTGCAGGTGTAATATCAGGGGCCCTTCTTTATATAAAAGATGACTTTGAGGTGGTCAATCAGAGTAGTTTCCTGCAGGTACCAGCTTTTAAAGGTGTTATGAAATACTAAAATTTTTTGCTTCCAGAAAAAAAAAATGAAAAAATTGAATTAATGAAAAAAATTTTTTTGGGTGTGTTTGATTGAGTGGAAGAGGTTGTGGACTACAAAGGAAACATTAAATTTAAGTAGAAAATTGTGTTAATGATGGAACTTGGAAGCGTTGCAAGCAAAGCACATAAGGCAACTTCTCCCTAGATCTTGTGTGTACAGGGGCATGCTTTTAATTGATTGGGATAGGGGATTGTGGTGCCTGGTAAAAGCAGGCAAATCTTGCGTTTGCAAAAGGTGCAGAATGGGAGTAATTGGGTGGTTTGGAGGGCTTGGAGTTCCCTTGACTCCAAAAATCTTGTATAACTCATAATATTAGTTAACATGCAAATCATTTTGCTAATTTGTGAATCTTTCCCTGTTTAGAAGCATCTTGAATCTTTATCTTTCAGGAAACAATTGTCAGCATGGCATTGGTTGGTGCAATCATTGGAGCTGCATCTGGGGGTTGGATTAATGATGCTTACGGCCGTAAGAAGGCTACTCTTCTTGCAGATTTTGTCTTTACTGCTGGAGCAATTGTCATGGCTTTAGCACCGGATCCATATGTGCTGATATTGGGCCGACTTTTAGTTGGCCTGGGTGTGGGCATAGCATCTGTTACTGCTCCTGTATACATTGCTGAAGCATCACCCTCAGAAGTAAGGGGTGGGCTAGTGAGTACAAATGTGCTTATGATAACTGGTGGACAGTTTCTTTCCTACCTTGTAAATCTTGCTTTTACAGAGGTCAGCTGTCTTCCTTTTACTGCATTCTCTTTCGTCTCTTGGAGTGATATATATATATATATATATATATATTTGTGTGGAGGGATCCACTTACACCAATGTAAGTGTTACACTCTTTTTTGACCCTGGGATATATATATATAGAAATGGTAGGATTTCCATATCTTTCTTTTCTGTTATTTACCTTGTGATCTTATATGGGAAAAAAATGGTTTTGTACCAGTTGAAACTGAAAATAAACTTCCCAATTACCATGCTAGGATACTGAAACTGGATATTCAGTTTTACACTTTTGTTTGCTTTAGAAGTTCAAAACTCACAAGGTTGTTAGTGAATAATGCTAAACTGGCATAAAATAGTTTTTGTTAATATAGGAAATTAAATGATAGTTCTCCCTATTTAGACTTCGCTAATAAAACCATTTATTAGCTGGCTATAGAGGAACAATCTTTACTTGGAAATCTTTAGATGTTAAACTAGATATGATTGTTCAAATGGTATAGATAGCAATTTTCTTTTGTCTTATTATCACTGGTCAAAATACAAAACTTTCCTTTTGATTATGATAAGATTCAAGGTTGGAATCAGGATCATCTTATTGTTTAACCGGAAGATAGAATGTCAGTATGTGCATGTTAAATTACAAGTTAATCTATTTTTGAGAATGCATCCTTTCGATCTTTTTAGTCTCTCTTCTTGAGGTTGCTAGCGAATAGAATAGATTCTTCTTTAGGAAATGCTCAAATAGCATTCCAAGTATTAACAGTTTTCTGATTGATTATTATTTATTTTCTAGGAAAAGTAATTGCCGGATAGCTTATTCTATTTGTACTCATTAATTATTCTGCTTCAGTGAAAGGTGTTCAGTTTTGCAGTTTTGAAGATGCCGTACCAAGATATAATATGGGGTTTGCATTTTATTGATTTCTTGAACAGAAATACCATTGATAGAATCATTGTCATTCTTTCCTACTAGTTAGGTTATTCATATGCTGCTGTTGTTTATGGCATGTGGAATGGTACATAGTAAACTAAATTTGTCATGGCATGTAAGTGTAAATATGTTTCATGTTTCGGTGAAATGTGTGTTAATGAAATGCAAATAGGAAGTTTAAAGTATATTCAGAAGCTTTGCTTCCCCTCTTTCAGAACGATTATCAATAATTTCCTTGCTCTTTTTTCTTAGAGTTCTGAACTTCCTTCTAAAAGTTTTTCAGTTTTAAGGATAATTGTCCACTCATAGCTACCTTACTTATAATTTGATCTCAAGAAATGGATTCAATTCGAGGTTGTGGGGGCAAAGCTTGTTTCACTTCCTGCCTTCAGAGACCTGTGGTTTTATAAAACAAATGAACAAGTATCTTAACTTAGAATAAATAAGCATTTAATTCTGTTGTATTTTTATTGATGAGTTGAACTACATGGCGAGATCTTCAAGCAACTAGTTGAGATCTTATCTGGACTGTTTAAACCTGGATATGTGAGTTTTGAGGTCTTAATGTTCTTGGAGGTGAAAGAAGTATGAATGGGTGAAGGCTGGGTCTGAGCTGATTTTTGTTATCTGGACATTTGTGCATCATAGGACTTCATGCACTCCAAAATGTTTTCAAGCATCTCTACTAGCTGTCTAAAACATTCGTGCCTGAACAGGTTCGAGGAACTTGGAGATGGATGCTTGGAATTTCAGCTGTGCCGGCTATCATTCAGTTCTTCCTTATGCTCTGTTTGCCTGAGTCTCCACGATGGCTTTTCATGAAGGTACATTTATTACTTCTCAGATATTTCTATGTAAATTCCTTTTTTTAACTGGTTCCTCCTTTCCATTTAGTCCTTTAATAAACCAACCATTTTCATTATATTATTCAGAATGAGAAAGACAAAGCCATAGCTGTGCTTTCTAAAATTTATGACATTGCTCGATTAGAGGATGAAGTGGATCACCTTTCTGCTGCTCTAGAAGAAGAGCGTCAAAAAAAGACAACTGTCCGATATTTGGATATTTTTAAAACAAAAGAAATCAGACTTGCCTTTCTTGCTGGGGCTGGACTTCAGGTAGGAACTAAAACTTCAACAATTTAGTGAATGATTAACTCTCTTAACTATGTTTAGGAGGAAGTATGAGGACTGTATAATGACATAGCAAATGTGATTATGCAGGCTTTTCAGCAGTTCTCTGGCATCAATACAGTTATGTATTATAGCCCAACAATCGTCCAGATGGCTGGATTCAACTCCAATCAGCTAGCACTTCTCCTTTCTCTCATTGTTGCTGCCATGAATGCAGCGGGAACTATTGTTGGCATATACCTTATTGATCATGTTGGAAGGAAAAGTCTGGCACTTTCGAGTTTATCAGGTGTCATTGCATCCCTTGTCATCCTTGCTGGGGCCTTCTTTGCTGAAACATCTGGTTCTTCAAATGGAATTTATGGATGGCTCGCGGTCATTGGATTAGTCCTTTACATCACATTCTTCTCCCCTGGAATGGGACCTGTTCCATGGACTGTGAACTCCGAGATATACCCTGAGCAATACCGAGGGATATGTGGGGGCATGTCTGCTACCGTGAATTGGATTTCAAATTTGATTGTGGCCCAGACTTTTCTCACAATTGCTGAAGCTATTGGAACCGGTGGTACTTTCTTGATTCTTGCTGGCATAGCTGTGCTTGCAGTTGTTTTCGTGATTGTGTTTGTGCCGGAGACCAAGGGACTGACATTTGTTGAAGTGGAACAACTTTGGAAGGAGAGGGCTTGGGGCAGCGGTTATAACACTGAGAGCCTTCTTGAACATGGAAACGAATCCTAGTTATCGTTAGAATCAAGCCGGCTTCCATTTCTATGAAGTTGGTAGCTTATCCTGGAGACATCTGAAGGTACGTTCTCATCTTTCCACACATCTATGTGGAAATATAGATATCTGTAACGTGAAACGTTCAGATTGTTTTGGGGTTTTTGTTCTTGCATGTTTTAGAGTCGAGAACTTGTGGATGGTCATAGGACTATCTTGTGTATATAAACTACATCATTGTCAGGGGGACGCCTTTTATGTAGTCCCCAAACCGAGACAGGCTCCTTGTATATGTAATTGCTTCCCTTTTCAAGCTCTGTTGGAAGCACAATTGGAATTGAACTCATGAAAATTGCATATTGCAATTAATATGGACTTAAGCTGGGTTTATATATTTTAGTTGTTAAGATTGAAATAAGGAATGCCAAATGCCCGAACTGAAGGGTTCTAACCCGACTTCATTTTTTGTTTTTTTACCATCAATCGTGTGATTTGTTGATTCAATTCTCTCACAGTCTCAAATACTAAAAAAACGTCTTCATTTTATACTTGTATAATTTAAATTTTCTCTTAATTCTCTATAAATTCACATGTTTCTACCTTCAAAATTTGTTCACATATCAGATATCAGATATCTAACCTGAAATTTGCTATCAATTTTTTAATTTTTCCACTTTTATGCTTTTCTTTTTTCCTCTTTTTCATTCTCTTAGCTTACCTTGAACACTGATGTTCATCAGACTTCTAAAACACCCTTGAGGTTGTGTATTACTAGTTAAAAGTAAAGATGATTTTACCTAATTTTATGCAAGAATGAGCAATCCATTATTGTAAATTCATCATTTTATTACTCTATGTTGTTCCAGGATTTTGCTCACTATATGTTTGAGGTTACAACCTGATGAACTTTTGGTTTCATCTTGCAATTTCAGAAAAGAAAATGATATGTTCAATTCAAATTTCAACCGTAATTAAAAAAAAAAAATCATATTTTCAGGCAAATTAATATTCTCGTAAATAACTTTTATCATCTGTCATTTCAATCTTTCTATACAAAACTGTATTTTGGTAAAAAGAAAACAAAAAGGAAAGTCAACTCACCAATAATGTAATCAAATGTTTCTTAATAAAGAAAGAAATCAGATGGTGAAGGGAAGCCCTGCAGGGGCGAACTGAGAACACATCAGGACAGTGGACAAGGTTTCAATCTAAGACTGACCGTATGTGATCCCATGTCGCCCCTGTTGGGCTCCTTCACCCCTTACAACTTGGAGATACAGATTTAGAGCAATGGGTTTCAGAATAATATAAATATATATAAGCACATTCCAAATCTAACTCAGTACTCTTAGTACATTACTTTCAATGTACAACACAACTGGTTGAAGGGTTAGTACAATTTTTTTTTGTACTTCCTAATTCCACACCTTGTAATTTGTGCTATCATTTCTAATAATATAGATTTGAGGAAGACTTCTTTTTAAAATTGGTAATTTTATTTATTGATGTAATTCAAAATATTAATACTTTTATATATTTATATTATATTTTATACAATAATTTTATATAATAATTTATATTGACATAAAAAATACGAATATATTTTTTAATTTTTATTCAATCTTTGTATGATTTTAAATAAAATTTTAAATAAAATTATTTTTGTGTCTTATTATATTATTTTATATATTATATTTTAAATTTTCATCAATTTCCAATCTCTTTCTCTCCAAAAAAAAAAAAACCTCATACAAGTTTATGCAGCCAGCATAAATACAGAGACAGATGGAGGAACCTTCAGGATTCAGACTGGTCGAAGTTTCTTCCTGAAATGGTGGCCAAAATATTTAGCATACAGCATTTGACAAAGATGTGTGGTCAGAATGGACTTCACTGGTTGCAAGGTTGTTAAATTTTGCAATAACAACACTCTTATGAAGCTGACACAAGTCATCCTCTTGAACAGTAAACTTTGGTAGTTTACCAGAAATTTTGGCACTGGGATCCTCCGGATATGACAATGCCTGAGTTCAGGAAAGGAAACAAAAGTTGCAGCCAGTTGCCTTAGATATGCAATTGTCAAAATTTTTCTATTCCCGAGATATTAAAGACAATCGGTTTCCAACAGTCATGAAGCCTGTTTTGTACATGGAAACTGCTCAGAATGTCCATAAGCTTCTACATTAATTACAAGACACCATATGATATTCATTAAAGCTTAATCGTTTCTGTAAGGAAACACTGACAATTTGTTTCCGGGACCAACTGAGCTATACTGCGAAAACCTATGGTATCACACTCACTGTATATCATGTTTTATGCCAGTCTATCAGAGTACATATCAAAATCTCAATCATTCATTGGTCTAGAGCTAAAAGATTATACAGCCTCATTCTAAGAAACTACCATCTTAGTATAAGGTTGAATAGTAGATAAAAGCAGCAGAGCCAAGGGCACCACACAAGTTTCACCACTATTCATCACACAAAACAAATTCAGAAAGATTGATGAAGTTCTATCACCATCAGAACTATATCATATCATTCATATACTTATTTACAGCACCAAACTTAGGTTCTTATGATCCCTCCACAACTTCCTCTGTTGCGCAACTGCCGAAAACTTCGAAGCCTCTTAACTCTTTTCTTGAGTACATTATCCTACTTTAATTTTGCTTTCTCTTGTATAATTTTCAACTTCAACTATTTTGTTGACTCGATTTGTCTCACAGCTTCCCCTAAAACCTTTTTTGCATTCTATCCATTTCTTCGTGAAGTTTTATCTTTCTTACCATCAATTTCCTGTTTCCCCTTCTTCTTCTCATCCTCTACACTGCCATTTCCAGTTTTGAAGAGTGGAAATGAGCCAATCAACGCCGTATCATCGATAACTTAAATCTTTAAAGACCCATTAACTGGCAAATCAAGTCCTTCGATACGAACAATGTTGTTATCATCAATGTTGGACGAGTTTGTAGCAAAACCAGACAAAACCAGACATGTTCCCACTACACGTTTTGGCGCCAAAAATTTTTCCGACTTCAAGCTCAGCCAAGTCTTTTCTTTTCAGCTTCCAGTACATTTTCAGAATCCAAGCCTTTTCCTTTGATAACCCATTTCTCCTGAAAATCCAAGTAAGCCCCCAAATGTGCCTTCATATCAGCTTCAGGGACAAAACCCACATCAACTTCAATGTCATTGACTTGGCTATCAACTTCTTGAACTCCAAAGGAACCCACTTTGTTTTCCACATTATCTATCTTTTCTTTCTCAAAAGACCCAGAAAGAGCAGCATTCTTAGTGAAAGAGCGAAGATCCAGCTCTTGGTTTCCCCTCAGAAAGAAGAGAAAAGCACTTGGCTTTCTTATTGGGAGTGCTATCATCCCTAGTTGTTTCTTCTTGGTGATCTTGAGGGATTGAACCCTGTTGGTGGATATTGATTACAGAGAGTGAAAATGGAAGTTGAAGTTCAAAGAGAGTTTCTCCTTCTTGTTCAGTGTAAGTAGTGATTCTATTGGATGGGGCTTGGAAGAGACCTATGTATAGCAGTTCTATTTTCAGCTCCAAGAACCTTTTTTTTTTTTTTTGGGTTAAAAAGTCAGAAGACATCATTGCCAAGTGACAAGAACTCGGAAATCAAACGTTTTGCAAAAAGACAGATGTGAAGCATAACTTAACCATCAATAAATCATAGACGACACTTCGTTTAATTCAATTGTGCTGGGAAAAAATATTCATACAAATAAACTCATTTACGCAGCACAAAAAGAAAATAAAAATATGAAGCAAACAATACTCAGTAACATTTATATCCACCACACGACCCAATCCCTTGGTCAATTTTATGACTACAACTTAAATAGACATCAGCACCCGAAAAACCAGTAACAGGCAGATCATAAACAGTCCAACCCAATCCTACACATCAATGTCATATATGAAAAATTGGAAAGAAAATATGTATCAGTATTTAGTGATATGATGGTATCCACAGTCGAATGAAACCAAACTGTGCAGAGGTCGCAGAAATTTCGATAAAAGGTGAAGAAACTGGATTCATCTGCTTTTATGTCTCTTACGCTGGTGCTGGTGCTGAAGCTGGAGCCTTCAACAGTGGTTGGAGAGCTTTAACAACGATGCTCATGTTTGGACGGAACTCAGCTTCATACTGCACACACAATGCTGCCACTGCTGCCAGCTGCATCAACAAAAATATAACAAAAACCATTAAGTGCTAGTTTGGTATGCCTATACTTAGATTCGACAATTTAAGACATGACACAAAAGCAATATGAAAAATAAAAGTGACACGGCTTAAAATTGACAAAAAACGTATATAGATTTAGAAAAAAACAAAATATTGTATTTAGCATTTGACGTATAGATATGAATTGTGACGCTGCAATTTTCGTGTTTTACACGTGTTGGATACAAAACAGATATGACAAGAATACACGAATTATCAGGTTTATCTGTACATGTCTTCCAGAGTTCAAACACTCAAAACCCCCATCGCTAAATTAAAAAATTGAACTCTGTGCAAGTTATGCAGACAGAGGAAAAAAATACCTTAGCAACTCCTTTAGGAGGATACTCTCCCTTCAATTTTGGATCTACACATTGTTTAACTTTGTCTTCGCTCAATCTTGGAGTAGCCTAAATGGAGAAAAAGAAATGTTGAAAAGTTGATCAAATTTAAACTGAACTGAAGATCAAGCACTATATAAAAGAAACAGATATGCACCATCATGCTAGACAAAGAAAAGGGAAAATATTGACAGAAAGAAGAGAAAGTAATAAACTCACCCAGGTAACAAGACTCTGCTGTCCACGAGGCATTGTGTGATCAACAGGTTTCCTTCCGGTCAGAAGCTCTAGAAGGACAACCCCATAACTGTACACATCACTCTTCTGTGTCAACTGTCCAGTCATTGCATACCTGGAAAACATTAGAGCCATAAATCAGTTAAAATTGTGCAGCTCCTTCGGGATAATGATGCATTTAGAAAAAATACTGGAACTCCCTCAAATTCATGTCCTTAGTTCTAGGCCAGCACAGACAGTTGACTTCACAAACTAGTGGACCTTAGATGAGTTTGTATATCTATCATGTAAGATGTCAAAAAGAAGTTAGGGAGTCCAAATAGCAATTTCATTTGGGGAAAAAAAGTGACATTAATCGGGATTGATATAAATAAATAAATCTGGATGTCAGAGTTTGGACAAGTTAAAAACATATGCGTTATTTCCTAGCTGTTATCAGAGAACAGAATTAAACATAACCAACCATACACAAGAAGTCAACTAAACACAGCAAAAGCCATTAACTAATTGGTTCAGAAAAAAATATAATATAAAGAAGCTTAGAAAGCATACTCTGGGGCATGATAGCCAAAGGTCCCCAAAACTCGAGTAGAATGAAGACGAGCAGCCATGTCAGGAGACTGGTTTGAGAGGTTAAAATCTGCAATCTTTGCTTTAAACTCTCCAAAGAGGAGGACATTGCTAGATCTGACATCTCTGTGTATAACAGAGGGTTGAACCTTCTCATGCAAGTATTCCAAGCCCCTTGCCGCATCAACTGCTATTCTTACCCGCTGCATCCAGTCAAGCACTGGACCTGGTTGTGCCCCTTGAACTCCCTTCCTTCCTATAATTGTCAGAAAGAAAAAAAACAAAGAAAACAGTCAAACTAATAGAGTCTATTTTGTATAAGAAAAGCTTTGTCAGATAAATATGAATCAGGAACTAATATATAATATGAGGGCCCCACAAACCATGCAATATGTCATGTAGTGATCCCATTGTTGCAAACTCATATGCAAGCACGCGGAGATTTCCTTCAACACAGTAACCTTGCAACTCAACAAGATTGTCATGTTTCAATCTTGAAACCATGGAAACCTAAAGAAAGAAAATTTGTACAGTGGAAGTGTTAAGAAAAGGCCCTTCTGTAAAATTGCTTATCAATAAGAATAACAACCTGAATTTGCTTACACACCTGGGTCAAAAACTCCACATTTGACTCAGGCTCAGAGGAAATGTCAAGCTTTTTCACAGCCACAGCTTTTCCATTGTTCAAATTTGCATAATAAACTCTTCCATAGGAACCCTCACCAATCAAAGACTTTGATCCAAAACTGTCAGTCTTTTCTTTCAATTCTTCCAATGATAATGCAGGCACTTCTATAGGTGGTGCTGATTTTTGCACTTCAGTTTTGACAGGAGCTGCCACCTTTGAATTTTTTGGATGCCCTGAAAGCACATAGCATGAGCAATGAAAAATCGTTCTATGAATACAACCATGCCAACAAAAAAATTATAGAAATTGAACGATTAAATAGTAATAAGAATTTTTTTCAGTAAAGAATCTTTGACAAAGACATTCACATTTCAAATACCAGATTAGAACACCGAACAACATATGCCAATCATCTTAAATTTTATGCAACCCTTTTTCTGTTTGGAAACACTAAAAATTAAATTAAGAAAGAAAGACAGCTTAAAACAATCTTCATATCTTAGCAAGTAAAAGCCAAATATAAAACAATTAAGGCAATCTAAATGAATCCCCAATTCTTGAAACCCATAACAAGCTTGAATCACCTAAAAAGAAGGTTATAGAAATGTAGAAGGTTCCACTGTGAAATTCAATGATCAGAGTTAAGGCAGATTCAAACCAAAATATGACATGTTATGAAAAAAAAAGGCAAATTACGAGAAAATAATGAACTTCCTCATCTCTTCACATAAATAAAGAATATTTCACAAGTCAAAATGAAAAAGACATGTAAATGGCTTGGTCATATATATAGAAATGAACGGGAAGAAACAGAGATATAGAGAGAAGAGTCAAAGACAGCCACCATAGAACATGCATTGCACATTAAGAATTTCTATACCAAGTAAAAAATAGGTAATTAACAAGACTAACAAACTGCAAAAATATGTCCCAGTCGCATTTTTATTCACCAGAGTAAGGTAAATACTATTAAGTTATTCTGAAAATTTTAGTTTAGTAACATCTATATTTGCAAGAAAATAACTACAGAAGTCACACCACCCAAAAGACCCCTAACAGTAAATCAGAATTAGCATGTCCAATTAGCATCAAAGTACATACCATCTGTTTGATGTTTGGGGATCTTCAAGTGCTCATCTTCTTGTGATTGGTGAATCTCCTCTACCTGACAGGAACAGCAAAGCCACCGTCGCATCCTATCTCTTTTCTTCAAATACAAATCGTCAGTATTTCCTAGTCGAACAAAGTAGCCAGGAGAAGGTGCATTTGCCTGCATACTTCCAGAAGATATTCATTCATAATCCAATGAACACATTGTAAAACAAATCTCTATGCAGAAAAAGGTTGCAACCAAATTTGTCTAATGCCAAACTGGAAACAAGCCAAAAAACGATATGACACATCTAAGAGAGATTCAACACTCATCCAACATCACAAGAGGTCAAAAATTCCAAATATCAATAAACACCATATTTAAAAATAAAACATAAAATCAAGAAAAGACAAACAAACTCCCCATATCATCCTGTAACAATTCTGGAGATTTATGACAAAAATGATAAATTTTTTAAAAGATGGGCAACAAAACATTGGGATTGCATTTCATTAACTTTAGTAGAGATAAAACAACACCTTCATATATGTATCAAAAGGAAAACCAACAATTTCATATATCCAGAGAAACCGCAGCAATGTCTGATCAAAAGGCAATGTCATACAATTTTAACAATTAAAAAAAAAGGCTAAAAATACAATTGAATTAATAATAATTAATTAATTAAACGTCATGAGATGCATTGTCAATAAAATTTACATCTTTAACATTCGAATTCATGTAAAATTAAAGGAGAAAAGAAGCCCATTTAGCCTTACCACCAAGCCTTGCCGATGATATTTCGTCTACCATTAAACAAAAACAGAGAAATTAAAGATAAAAAAGCAAACAAATCAAAAATTAAACGACAACCCAGAAAAATTAAGCCTCGGTTCTAAAATGGGTAGATGCAACTTCACGAAAGAAATCAGAGAGTCAAAAGATAAATGAAACCCTCAAATTTGTTTACAAAATGAGGAAAAAAAAAAAAGAGAAAGGAAAAGGGGTAAAATAACGGTTGAAAGAAACAAAAGAGACAGATAGATAGACAAACGGAATAAAAACAGCTTTTAAATCGAAACCGAAATTAAAGGATTAAAATGGACAAAAATTGAAACTTAAAATGAATTATAATACCTGGCTTCTCTCTCTCTCTCTCTCTCTCTCTCTCTCTCTCTCTCTCTCTGATTGTTACAAATCTTCTCTCTTTCTCTTTCTAGGGTTTGTTTGCCACTAGTTCTTTTGGTTTTTGGGGAAGGGATTGGGTGTGTGTTGGAGAGAAAGACAGAGAAAGAGAGAGAAATTGGAAGAATTTGAAAATTTTGAGGAAGAAAAGGTGAATAAAAAGAGAGGCAAGCAACACAAAAATTAATGGAATATTTTTGTCTATTTAAATATAGAAATGAATAACTGTAGTTGCTTTTTTTTCAAAGAAATTTGTTTAGATTTCTATTTTTTACACCAAAAATTGTCCATTAAATAAAATTTATACACTTCATAATTTTTATGATAATTTTCTATTTATAGTTAAATTGATATATTGATAAACATAGATTTTTATTTCTAAATTTTAATTGATATTAATTAACATTGGAAATTTTTTTTTTACAAAATATATCAAATAAATTTATTTAATAAAAGTCACTATTACAATTTTACATAGAAATTGAATAAATCTCATTAATATTTAAAATAATTATTTATAAATAGAATAAATATAAATTAATAAAACATTTTACCAAAATAACTCATTTGGGTTTGCTTCTTGGTTGTAGTTAAAGTTTATTAATTTGTCTGTTTGGTTTTCTTTGTCACCATTCTTCCTTTTTGTTGAAAGATGACGATTTCTTAGCTTTCCAGCAAGAAATAAGTATAAATGGGCGGTGGAGAATGAATTCGGCCTAAACCCAAATGCCAACTTTTTTTTCTTATTATTATTATATTTACTTGTTTATTTATGTATTCTTTCTCATTTGCTTTTTTTATACATAAAAGAATTATAAAAAATTAAAAAATATAAATTTTTTAAAAATAATTATATAAACTAATTGAATTATTAACATATTTTTATATTTTTTGATATAATTTTTTTTTTTTGTCTCTAGTGTTCTAGAACAACAATAGAAGTAGAGATTTTTCAGATATATAATCTAAAATTATGGTGGATTGTATGTAAGAAATTTTAAAAGTTTGAGGTCAAAATGTATGATAAAATATTGTGTGGGCAATGCTGATGAGTGATGACTTGATGATGAATCATCTTAGATTCAGCAAACTTTGTTTGTTTTCTGTCTGGCTGTCCTACCATGGACATACTTGAACTACTCTGGGCGGCTTGGAAAAATTGGAGGCAACAAGGTACCAATAAAAATTTTGTATTTTTTATATAATATAAAATATTAATAATTTATATAAAATTTATATATTATATTTCATATAGATATAAAAATAAAAAATTTATTTATTATTTTATTAAATTTATATATAATTTTTATTAAAATTTTAAATTATATCATTTATATAATTTTTATATCGTATTATTATCTCATAATCTAATAATTTTATCCTTCGTACGAGGCTGTGACAGCCATGGCCTTTCTTACTCCGCCGCCAGGCCACGTATCTTTAAATGAGAAAGAGAATTCCCAGCCTTCCCAGCAAATCAAAGTGGATTTTGCTTTGTTAACAAGTGTCCCTGTCAAACAGGTTATTCCCCACTGTTTTAGAAACCCAAAACTTCCTTTTTTTTTTTTTTTCTTTTCATATTCTCTTTTCCCGCTTATCGAAGACTTAGTAGATCTAAATACGATAAAAAAAAATCAATACAAAGATATTAAATAAAAATGATTCAATTTAAAATTTTAATAAAAATTACATATAAATTTAATAAAAATAAAAAATATATATTTTATATTTATCATATCGATACACGAATTTAATACAATAATTTTTTATATTTAACACAACACAAACAAAATGTTGAGCATAATTGACCTTAAAAATGATCCTTGGAAGTGAGGTTTAATGTGATTACAGGCTTATTCAATGCAAAACTCTACAGTAAACAACTTGTTTGAGTTTAAACGAAAACGACTAAACAATTTCCGAAGGGGCATCTCAATGATTAGAACTCGAGATTCAGTTTAGTCAATCTTTGAGTTCAAATATTGACATAAATACGATGAGATTTATGCAATTGAAAAAGATTACCTCGCGTTATGTAGCTCAAAATCTTTACGTACAACAAAGAAAATGAATGAACAGAAAAAAGGTTCAGTTCAGAGATACAGAGCTAGTGACAAACTTGTCATCACACAAAAATTGCAAAATTTTGATGAACAGTTGTCTCTGAAACTTGTAGACAAAAACCTTTCAAAGCATTGTCACTACTGCATGATGAATAGGGAGCACATGTAGTCACAAAACTTACCTGATGATGCTACTTTACTCCTTAAGCAGAAACTGGTGTCCTTTCTGTAGAAGCCTTTGTTGGATATTGTTCCTTGAATCCCAACATTTTATTTATTGCGCCGATATAAGCCTTGACACTGGAAACAACAATATCCATTCCTGCCCCAGTGCCACTGGCACCAAAGGAGAAAGATTTATGCACTGAATTTTGGAGGATGATGTATTAAAATGTCGATGGAAACAAGAGCAAGAAGATTCCATACCTAAATGTTCGTTGAACGAGTTCACCAGTCAAAGCATGAGTCGATATGTGACTTTTCTCTGGACGAATTAGAACGCGGGTGGTGGCTATTGCATCAATGCCTTCTGTAACAGCATTCATGGAGTACTCAAGTAGTGAAACTGGTTCCTGCAATTGAAGGAAAAATCTTGAAATATTGCTCCACAATTTCAGCAAAAATATGTTCAGAAAAGTATTCTAACACGAGATGGGTTGGGGAAGATAGAGTGCATGCGGGAAAATCAGAAAAAAAAAAACAAAGGGAAAAATAATTAACTACCGTCATCAATACCATCCATCTTTATAGCAGATACCCTCACTACCCCATTATGGACAAAAAAGACAACCATGGAAAGTGATCATCAAAGAATGAGTATAATATTTTGATGCAGGGCAGGAAGAGAAACATGGTAGAGCTACAAGAATGAAAAATATTCACTTAGGCTTTGCTCGGTAGGAAGAATGAAAAAATGTGAGGAAGAAAAACTTGTTAACCTAATGATTAAAATTCATAACAATTTTCTTACTTTGTAACTTAACCATTAGATTAACAAATTTTCCATCCTCACCTCTTTCCATCCTTCAAACCAAGCAAAGCTTTAAAGAAAGACTAAATTCTAATTCTAGTGCTCAGAAAGCTAACTGAAAATTTTAGTAACTAAAAAATTTAGGGCTACAATCTATAACCCTATTGATGAGCCACAATTCAAATGACAAAAACAAGGTTCTAAAAGCAGGCAACAAGACTTCATTTTTACGGCACAAGAAATGACAAATTAAGCTTGAACAAAACATATCTATTGACCAACTAACATAATAAATACAAGACAAATTCTCTGCTACTAAATTTAGGTAGCACAGGAAGAGAAGTAAGGAGTTAACAAGCATAGGCAGGAGAAACAAATCTGAGGAAAAGGAAGAGAGAACAGAAAAACTGAGGGAGAAAAGGAAAGAAGAGAAGGAAGTTGAACAAAATGGTGAATAGACCAAACTGAAGTTCAATATTCTAACTGAAAATTATGAACTACAGACTTCATGGTTACAGCCAATGAGACCCCATAAAGAAAGAGTAAATTCAAAAAAAACCTTAATTATAATAAAATCCAGAATTCATAGACAAATTCTTAATACCCTAACAGTAAATCTTGCATCATATCTTATCAACACCCAACAGAAAATTCTAGCAAACAAAGAAAACTACTAATTGCCTATATCGAACCTTTATAATAAGATCAACAGCTTTATAAGCTGAATCTACTGGTCCAGTTCCAACCGAGCAAGCAACATGCTCTCTCCCATCAGCATCAATGAGTTTAACTGTTGCAGTAGAAAGACCAAGAGTTCCACAAGTAACCTGCATGTTACGTTTTCCATTTAAATATAACATATTAAAATTTAATGCAAATTGGATGATGAACAATAAAGTTGAAAACACAGTTACCAGGATCGCTGTTACCCCTAGAACTGCGATCCACCTCATATGTCCCAGATCATGGTACTTTTGCATCCTGGATTGCTTTGGTATGCAACCCGGATCACCAAAACCATTGACCCAAATTGATAGGTAAAATAGAAAGACAGAGGCTAGAAGACGAAACAGTAAAGAGAGAAAGAGAAAGAAAGGATCTGATAGGGTAAAGGAGATATCCAGTCAAAAATAAATAAATAGAAAAAGAAAGGAAGTCCGCAAATTTCAAAGTTGGGGTGTAGACAGTGAAGCAAAAAAATTGGGGGTTACGGGTAGGGAATGAGTTAACTTTGAAATTAAAAATAAGCATACTCTTGGATTTTGACTAATGTATTATAGAGGGTTTCATCAAGCCCATTAATTTGTAATTGGGGTTTAATCAGGCTCATTAATATTCCTTTGATTCACTTAAATGCAGAATCCCAATATTTCATTGGTAATTAAATAAATTGGCTGGAACATCATTTGGAGTATAATGAGGAAACAAATTACTGTAAAATATACCATTATTATTTTCTCTCTTTAAAAGAAGAAAATTAAATACACAGAAGAAACACTTTAAAATAATGTATTTTCTTATAATCATGTATATTATTGATTATAAAATATCTATAAACTTGTAAGTTCTTCTTAAAATACGGTCATGTAAAAACAGAAAAACAACATATATATATTTTAAAGCAATACAACCCCAATACTGCTTTATACAGTACTGCAACCCAAAATAACAAACCAACGAAGCATGCACCCACCATAGCATAAAATATCTAAGTCACATACCACATTCCTGTAACTATGGTTCAAAAAAATGTCTAGTTACCTGCAGATCATGAAGCTTCCAAACAAATTCTGGCTGAAAAACTTCATCCGAAACCAATGCTATTAGATCAGCATCAGTGACTCTCTGGAACACCAGCAAATAAAATTAAGTATAGATCACCAGTGAAAACAAACAACAGAAAATCATGCATTTATACTTGAGCTTTAGTTCAACAGTTATTTTTCCCTTAAGAATCAAGATATGTACAAAAAAACTACAACTCAACCAAAATAAACTGAATTTCCACATCCAAGAACTTAAAAACATCATGGATGCCAGGCACCTAGAGAAGCTAATTGATACAAGCATTCATAACCAACAAAAATAATTACTTTGCACTGTCATGTGATAATCACTATAAGATCTTGAAAATATTTTTTCAATTACTTGGAATACAACCCACTAAAATTCCTCATTAACTATCTATCATTGATAACCAGAACCCTTAAACTGGGGCTACCCAGAAAATCTTGCAATATATCAACTACCAGCAGCCATCACCTTTCAGCCCTATTTCTTCATTTTCCAGGCCCACGGAGCATTTCTCAGACCACCATCATATCTTGAAGCCTTAAGTTACAAGGTTAACTATGTCTTAACTCCAATGTGGATATAAAAAGATAGGTCTTTTTGTGTTAAAAATACATTCAGCATCCAACTGGGGCTTATGACTCCACTAATATCATAAACAGCGAAAAGATAAAACTACAACTACCAATAAAAACATTATCTATATCCTGTCTCTGTATTGTATCTCAATTTTTTTTTCTCAGTTCTTGTTTTCCATACAGATAAAAGAAAAACTTGTTTAGTTGCTGAAACTAGAAAAAGAGGTTTTTAAAATAACAGAGAAAACAGAGATGGAGCACTGGAGAACTGGAAAACTGGAAAACTGTTGAAAAATGTTATCCATGATAATAATGCTGGTTTTCCAAGGGACAATTATGCAAAATTGTACTCTAGCAACAATCTCTCCTTATTTTCATTTTCATTTTCTGAAAAAAATCAATGGAAACGAGAAGTTTCAACAGTTGAAGACAGTTTAATTTCCAACTGCAACTCATTCATTTGTAAGTATCATAAATAGATGATTGTACAATGATCTGAAGGGAAAGAAATACAGCAAATCAGTAAAGACTCTTGTTCACCTTCTTTTGTTCAGCTACTGCTTTGAAGCGCCAGAATATGTTCCCAAGCTGTTCATCATCAAGCTCATAACCAAGCTGAGGAAAACATGAAGAACTAGGTGTTTAGATAAAGCAAAGAGAAGTAATTTCATCAATTTTACACATGCCTAATAGAAGCATACCTCTTTCAATCGGTCACTCAAAGCATGACGTCCACTTTATCAGAGAATTGGAAAAGAAGAAGAATAACAGAAGTCATAAGTTTTGTTACAATCAAATTCATAGAAATAAAAAATGAATAGGAAGATACCGATAACATGAATGAGATAAGTATCATAACAGAACTGCATAAATTTAAGTAGAAAGAACAGAAGATGGTACCAATCCCACTGAAAAAGTTGCTAACTTTTTTGGGGGGTGGGGGAGAGAGTGGAATTCCCTGCTTGAGACATCTATGCTTCCTCTTTCAATTCACCTCTGCCCAACCCCCACAGGCTAGAATGCAAGACTCTTTCTGTTAATTTAAAATGTGTGAGCATACATGTTAGAAGTCTTGCTCAGACTCTTTATCTGTCCTAACATGTTGAACACCTCAAAATGGATAGATATATGAACCTTCCAGCATAAAGAAAAACTTAGGAATAACTGAGCGATGCTCAACATATAATAATGTCCAACATTATATCCAACTTCAAGCAACATAGGACCATGGAAGTCGATTCATGAAATTGGAGAAAGTTAAAAGTTTCTATTTACACACAAAGAAACTTGCCAGAAAATCTAATACATGGAGTGAACCTTTATGCTTCACAAATATTTCCGATAACTTGCCAACCTATTCCAGAATATAGGTAAAGTTCAATATATTTATCAAATATATTAATAATATGTACCCTGTTTTACTTCGCCAAGAATTTTTTTGGTGCCTAGCAACTGAGGTGATATTAACACTTTTTCCCCCTTTGATTACCTTAATATCAGGAGACAAACACCTTCTTTCATAAGAAAGAGAAAAGGCCAAGGAAAAACCTATAAAAGGATCGCCCCACATTATTGCAACAATTCCACTGTCCCCAAATCAAGTTAACAGTCAAAAGTTCAAAAATACTCATCAAGATTGGATATAAGATATATACACAAACCTAAATACAATATTCTTTGTAATGGTAACAAATATGTTGCTTCTTATGTTAAATCTTCAACTATTTCTGTCAGGTCATTGTGACATTGCATCCAACATTGAAAAGCAACAGAAAAACCATTTACACCTCTTGTTACTCTAAATATGTTTCACCATCTACATCCCTTTAAAGTATTCAAAACATATCAAAAAGAAAAAGCTTTACCAGAAAAATGGAGGAAAAAATTTTGAAAAATAAAATACCTACCTAAGTTTTCCAAGGACAATACCAGCTTCATTGGACCGTTCAAGCCCGATATCTTCAGGAGATATAATTTCATATGTACCTTTGTGCTTTAGCATTCCATCCTACAGAACAGAAATCATTTTGGAATATATATCTTATTGCTTTTATAAATTTTGAAGTACAGATATATATCTATATTAACCAAAACAAAGAAAAAGTGGCTTTGTTGCCTTCTTTTGATCTTTCAGATGATAGCATCCTTAACCAAACAGCATGACAAAAAACATATTCTTATAACCAGGCACAACTAGTTTGGGATTAAGGGTTAGGAGAATTTGGTTGAGTTGGCTCTTAACAAAAACATCAATAATTGTCAACAGTTTCAATAAGCAAAGCCCAATTTCTACAAGAAATTACCAGCGTAGCTATACACATTAACATTTATTATTAATTAATATTATCAATATTCAATTAAGAGAAGAAAGAAAGGAAATACAGAACACTGAACACCCATGAAAGAAAACCACAAGTAATAGATTACACATTCAAGTAACCTCCAGAAGCATATAAAGAAGTTGTGTTTCTTATAAAATAAAAAGTTAGGAGAAATTGTTAAATTCCTTCCACATCAATTCTATGTCCAACAAATTTAGACGAGGCCGGCATTAGAAATTGCTATGTTAGAGTAAACAGCACCACAACAAAATAAAGATAACCTTGACTAGAACAATAAAATTGTGCTCCCATTGTGCTGGCATCACATTATTTTAAAGACATTGTATCCTCATTTATTAGACCTATAGTTGATCCGGTAGAAAATACCTATGTAATAGTTTCTCTTTGTCATCATTGTTTCACTCACCAAATTAACACCACGAGATAAATAGTGGCGTAAAGTGTAAAGTTAACAACATAGCCTATATTTGCAAATATACATCCATATAATCGTAATTGGTGAAAAAGTAAAACAAGAAATGAAATTGACAGATCAAATAAACATTACTGCTAAAAGGGCCAAATAATGGAAATACTATATAACCAGGCTGCCTACACGCATGACTTTATATTATCATCTATAATTAGCAACTAAAACTGTAAGCACTTTGGTTGAACAAGGGTTTTGATATACAGAGCCAATCTCTGAGCTTGTACAGATGGTCTTAAAGAGTTCTCTAATTTAACCCCCAAAATCAATCTTAAAAGTCTACCCAAAAGTAGATCGAATTCAAAGCTCAAGCATACTCCTCAGCTGACATCATTCCCCTAGCAAGAGATTACTAGCTAAACCTTCAGACAATTTAAATAGGAAAAAAAAGATGTATAGATTCCATTTTTATTTTCTACCATGCATATAAACTACTTGCAAACTATTAATGAAAAACAAAAGAGGATAATTTTAGTATTCAGTAAGAAAACTCAGTCCCCCTACAAGGGGAAACTGGCTAACAAAACAGCAGCATTTGTCCTAACTAGTTTACTGCAGTACTAAAGGAAATTCTTAAGATAAACCGACAAAGCTGCACTTGTGAGCAGCAAATATAAATTGTAATCACATAAGGAAAAAATCATGGCACATGTTAGTGCATTCTAGTATTTTCCAAATACAATAATAAATACACTTCCACCATCAATCAAGGAGATCAGCCATAAAACAAACTTTGCAACTAGAACGAAAATAGTTTGGAGGTTCACAAAAATATCCAATCAAACACCAGAAAAACTAACCTGGTGAATACCACTTTCATGAGCAAAAGCATTGGCTCCAACAATAGCCTTATGTGGCTGCACATGCAACCCCGTGTATTCTTCAACCTAAACAACCATTTTAAGTTAATAATAACTCCCAGAGTTAATTCAGTCAAGAGTGAAAAACAAATGAACTGTAACAAAGTTCACAAAAGAATACCATTTTGCTAGCCATCACAATATGTCGGGTATTGATTCCTGTATAAAGGCCTCCTAATGCATGTTCACCACGACATTTTAAGGCCATCACAACCTATACAAACAAAAGTAAAAGCTCAATGGAATTAACACAGTAAAACAAAATATAGATAATAGGATATTATAAGAACCATCAGTCAAGGGACAAAAGTTCAACAATTACAACCAAAATAATAGTTCTACTCAACTCAATGCTAGAATAGAGCAATTGACAACTGAAAGTCTTTTGTTTACGGATTTTAAATGTTTAACCAAGGAAGACAACCAAACTAGAATAAGAAAATTCATCAAAAGGATCCATAAACACCCTCATTGTCAAGAACCCCCTTTCTCTCTCTCTCCGGAAAAAAAGACATAATGAATTCATTTATAATAATTTAAAATTATTTTCACAGAATTGGAAATTAGTTTATGATGAAACAAGCACAATAGCAATTCTTAAGAGTTTCACTGAAACTGGTTGTCTTCTTTGCCAATTTATATAACAACAGATACAACATCTGTCATGAGATACTTGATAATGTGAGCCTTAAGATGCCCTTTCTCCCTTATTTATATTCGGCATAAACAATAAAATAAAAAAGCCATAAAAGGGAGACCGAAAAACATAGCACATTGGAGGCACAGAAGACATCACCTATCTCACATAGTGAAGCACATGAAAATTCCATAAGCCCCTCTTTAACTGAATATCGGGGTAATATGTTGCCATCAAAAGCAGATTTGGTAGACGAATATGGTCTTAGATAGTACGAACTCATGCATTGGATTATTGGACTAATATGTCCAAGAACACCTGATGGTGCTAGAGAAAACCAGGTTTCCATCTACTTCTACATAACTCAAATTCCAAATATGCAATCATTCTAATATTGCAAAAAGCAAAAGCTCACCTCCTCTAATGAAGCATTTCCAGCTCTTTCCCCAATACCATTGATTGTTACTTCAACTTGTCTTGCACCTGCACAAGCTCCCTGAATTCATAACAGCTAAGATGTAAATGCAACCCAAGTACATCTCACTGTGCATCAATTAACGAAGTAAAGTAGTGGCCTACCGCTATAGTGTTGGCAGTAGAAAGCCCAAGATCATTTTGGCAGTGTGTTGAAATAATAACATTCTCAATTCCAGGGGTATTGGCTTTTATATCAGCAATTAATTGCCCAAATTCGCTGGGCATAGTTATGCCAACAGTATCGGGTATGTTCAGAGTTGTCGCTCCAGCCTTGATCACCTCACCCAAAATCTCATACAAAAACTCTCTGTCAGATCTGGTTGGATCCAAAAATACAAGACAATCATATCAACAAGAGAACAAATAAAAAATACCCTTTTGCATTTACTTATTCAAAAAGCAGCCTACATCAGATTCATACACTCCTGCTACAGCAAAAAACCAGTTATTGAAATCCCCAGAAAAAAATTAGTCCCACCCAATACAAAATCAAGCATGCACCCATTGCAGCAATATCTGATCAAGCACATATCTTTCACCAAAATGGTTTGGCTTCCATTAAATGCAATCAAGAAACAAACTTTAAACCATATTTTTAACATTTAATCTTCTTACTCCCCCTATTCTAAACCAAATAAAACTATTATCAATTGGGCATAATCCTTTCCTTGAACAATCCATTTTAAGAGAATAACATAAGAAGAGAAAAGGAAGATAAAATCTCGAACCTGCCAGCGTCTTCAGGGCTAAACTCGACATCATCACAACCCAAACTCCTAGCAAAACGAACCATACTCCTAGCAATATCCAAAACCTCCTCTTTACTCTTCCTTAATTTATACTCCAAATGAATCCCACTCGTCGCGATAAACGTATGAATCCTAGGCCTTTTCGCATACTTAACCGCCTCCCAAGCTGTCTTAATGTCCTTCTCATTACACCTAGAAAGTCCACAAATAACAGGCACATACCCATTCTCATCCGACGCATTCCCAACCTCTTTAGCAATAGTCTTAACAGCTTCAAAATCGTCTTTTGAGGCAGCGGGAAACCCAGCTTCTATTATATCTACACCGAGCTTTGCGAGTTGGCGAGCAATGTCAAGTTTTTCCTTGGAAGTCAAGGTGGCGCCGGGGGATTGTTCCCCGTCGCGGAGGGTGGTGTCGAAGATACGGACATAGTTGGGGTCCGGAATATGGTTGGGAATATAGGGGGGCCGGCGATGGGGGGAGGGAGGATTAGGGTTTAAAGAAGAGGAAATGAGGAGGGGTTTGGTGAATGATTTGGAAGGAAATGAAGGGAAAGTGATGGGTGATTTGGAAGAAGGGAAGGGAAGGGAAGTAGAGGGAAGGAAAAGGGAGGATTTGATGGAAGGAGAAGAGAAAGGAGAAAATTTGGAGGAAGTTAAGATGGAAGAAGCCATTGAGGAAGGAAGAGGAGGGAAAAGAAAAGTATAAAACCCTCGAGACAGAAGGAAGTTTTATGTTTGGTTAGGGCGGAAAGGGAGAGTGGCGGCGTTGTCAGCTCAGTTGTTTCAGTGTCATAACAAGATCAAGGTACAGTTCTGCCAAAACCCAATGGGGAAATTTCAAAATGTGGCAGTGGATTAGAAATTATTTGAGTCAACAATCATAATAGAAAATATTTATTGCAAAGGGTATAAAATTTTTATTGTTAGCCTTATCTTCAAGATTTTGTTTAATGTTTGTTAATTAAAAAAAAAAAAAACACCTTCATAAGAAATAAAGAGAAGTGAGAGAGCCAGCCATCAAGATTGACGAAGGTAATTATCAGTTTATCACTGTCGTACCGATCCTGAATTCGAATTTCAATCAATAGTGTGACTCGATACATTGACAAACGTGGTCGATAAAAGTTCGACCATCATCAGTGTTGGGCTGTTGCATCTTGCCCATGAACATCGTTGGATTCTTTTGACGTGTCGGATTTCGCTTTTTTGATTGTGAGAGTATCAAGCCGACCACCGCTGATGTTCCCCTTTAAATTGCAGAATGAAAATGTAATTGTAAAATCTTTTTCGAGGAAAATTCTCATTTCTTTGTTAGTAATCACTCATTGTCATTGTAACAAAATATAAACATTTCTGATCCATTTTGTAATTCCCCAGATCCAATTAAATACCACGTATTCATATAAATATGATACTTTAGAATATGATGTGAAAATATAATATAAATAAAAAATATAATAAATTTTTAAAAAATTATAAATTAGTTTAATAAAATTAAAAAATTATATTTTATATTTTTGTGTAAAATCAAACTGTGAAATATAATTTTCATATAAAATATAATACGAATATAATATTTTACATGATACAATGATTAGTGTGAGCAATTCAATTTACCTTCGATGAGTTTCGATCCGACCCTATATGATTGATTTTTATTTTTGAAAAGCGGGTTTCAAGTTGGGTAATGCTAAAAAGATGCTGGAATCGAATCGGATTCGAGTTTTAGATAAATTCGATTAAATTCGACTCAATATTATATAAAAATAATTTTTTAAAATAATTTTTTATTTATATATATTTATATAATTATATATTTAAATATTTATATTTTAAAAAATAATATTTTATTAATTTCGGATCCGATTGGGTTCAAATATGAAAAAAATTAAAAAAAATCGAATCAAGTCAGGTAAGATTCAGAGCAAACAAAAACCCGCCCCTGACCTGACCTATTGCCAACCCTAACAATAATACGAATTGTCAAGTCTAGTTCATGCATGTTAATTTTTTAGAGATATAAATGAATATAACATGAGATGAATAGAGCATTATTCATTTTTATTTTTTTATATTATATTCATATATATATATATATATATATTCATGTTTAACAAGTATTTTAAATTTATTTTCATTTTAAGTATTTAATTGGTATTGATAATCTTCGTATTCAACTTTTTTTGAAAAAATAAAAATAAAAATTATTTTTTAACTTTTTTATTTTTATTTTGATATTTAAATAATTTTTTATAAATATATATTAATATACATTTTTTAAATAAAATATATATTAATTTTAAATATTCTAAAATAATATTTTATATTATTTAAAATATATTTATTTATTTAATATATATATAAATATATATAAGGTACGAGTACGAAACATGTATTATATTACTCATCTTATCCTTCGATTCTCATATCAAATAAAAATTTGAAATTATACTCATTCTCATCCTTATTTATACAATACAATACTAATCTCTATCTTCATTTGAATAAAAAATTGAGTTTCTTTTATTATTTTTGAGTTTGTAACACATTATTATATTAAATAATATACTTTTTTATGTAAGAGATCGCATTTTATTTAAAAATAAAAAAAGAAATTACAAATATTAAATAAAAACTCTAAATTTATTTAATATTAATTTTTAAGAATAACATCGATGAAAATTTAGATTATATTAGCCTTAATTCTTAAACGGAACGTATAAATATAACAAATAAAACCATATGACAATTTTATTAACTTCCATTTTTTATTTAAAATTTGTTAAAATTTGATCTTTATAACTAGAATTAGTCTAATACACTTTACCAACCGATCCTTAAAATTAAAAATTTAACTTTGATTAAATCATAATAATTAAAATTAAAATTTTCAATAATTTATAAAATTATCACTAAATTAAAAATCTAACACTTAAAAAAAATATCATTAATCAAACTAACTAAATATCGAAGAAAAGAAAATTAAACTAGTACAATTTAAAAATTTTTTCTCTTTGGTTAGGTCTGAAAATTAGGTAGAAAGTCTAAACAATTAGCATCTCAACGTGGAAAAAGAAACAGGAATTAATTAAAAAAAAAAAGCCAAGCGTTGATTTATCGCAGTCTAATTCGAATTTAATAAATTTTAACTTGAATTAATTTTATAAGATCAATTTTTTTTTTAAATTAGGTTCGAGGTAGATCAGATCGATATTATTAACAAAAAAATTAGAATCAAATCAAATTCGAATTTTAGATAAATTTGATTTAATCTTATATTATATTTAAAATTATTTTTTTATTATTTATTTAATTTTTTATTTATATATAATTATATTTTTAAAAATAATAATTTATTAATTTCGAATTGAAACAGATATAATTTATATAATATCAAATTAAATCAAATTCAAATATAAAAAATAATAAAAAATTTTTAAATCAAATTAAATTTAAATTTTAAAATTATAAAATTAGATAAAATTTGATACAAATAAAAATCTACTCCGATTCGATACGTTATTAACCCTAGATTTATCGTTCCATATACCCTCTGTATGTTGTCTATCGGCTACGCCTTACGGTTTGACGTTGACCTGATTCACCCTTTGCGTGGACGTACCTTGCAGAGAAACCTTTGAGGTTTTGGGGCATTGGATTCTCGCTAATATTTGCGTTACTCGGACATTTTCACATGAGTTTCGTATGCTTCCGTTTGTGACGGTGCTTTTTTTTAGAGACAGCGAGGATCGAATCAGAATAAATTTTTATTTGTTTTGAATTTGATCTAATTTAATGATTATTTTATATTTAAATTTAATTTGATGTTATATAAAATTATATTTAATTTGATTTAATTTAAAATTAATAAAATATTATTTTTTAATATAAATATAAAATTAAATAAATAATTAAAAAATTATATATATATATATATATACAGAATCCAAACGAAAAAAATTTACCAAAAATCTGATTTCGATTTTATTTTACTATAATTCGATTCAAAATTCATTAAAAAAATTGATCTTTCAAATAAATCAAAATTTATTAAAAATAAATTAAACTAGCATCTGTACTTCTCTCGAAGTCAGAACGCTCTTTTACCGATGCATTTTTACATCTCATAATAATTTTGGCAAGTCGCTTAACGCCGTTCATTTTCGACGTAAGAGCGTTCGATCCATGAGATCTAGTAGAAAACTTGATCTCAGACTGCAAAGAAATGTACAAATCATGAATTTGAAGTTATTCACGTACAGTCAATTTAACTCAATTCTATTCAGGATTATACCAAACATCAGAGATAACACGTGAACGATAAAAGCAAGAATCACGCATTTGACTTAAAATATGAAGATGCAAAACCAAGAAAGAAAATCTTTTTTTTTTCCTCGTTTTTCTTTTCCAACCCAAAATCTCGCCGCTCTACTCCCTTATTATTAGTTAGATCGAACAAATTTTGAATTTAAGTATTTTTATCAAATTTAGTTTCATTTTTCGAGCAAAGTTAAATTTAAATATTTAATTTTAATAATTTATAAATTTTTTATATTTTAATATATATTTATATTATTTTAATTAAAAATTATAATTTTATTTGTATATATATAAATTTGAGTTTAAATTCAAATATAATTAACAGATTTGAGATCAAATATAAAAATTAAATTTATTTTTTATTCAATAAATGAAATTATTTAATTTTTATTTTAAATTAAAATTTTAAATATTAAATTTTGAGTTAAATTCGAGCTTTTACTTTACTTCATATTTTAAAAAAAAAATTTCGACGGTTGAAGCTATGCTTTGAACGGACTTTTTAAGAGACCAATTAAAACTAATCTGGCATAACCCGGTCGATGCACAGGATTATCAACAACCAACTCAGCCGGAACAAGAGATTTTCTGTTGCTTTCTTTATGGAATTTTAAGTGAAGTTGACTTGTGCATCTGGCAGTTTTATATGCCCACTTTAAACGAATGGCGAATACATGGTCAAAAAGAATATGAATAATAATAAATATTATTTATTATTATTGGATGAAGCTTTTGGTGCAGCGGCAATTCCTCGTTTGGTCGACACTTATAGGGATCTAGGGTTTAGAATGATCATAATTACATTGGTTTCTACCATTAAATAATTCAACAATATCGATAGTAGCAACCAAAAGAAAATGGCCAAATTCAATGGCTGATATGGTGACAACCTTTTTTTCTTCAAAAGAAGAGATGATTTTTCATTTTAATTTTTCAAATTCTTTTTATGGTAACCACGTTTAATGGATGGATATAGTCTTCTTGAAGAATTTGGGTCTTTGCTTCTTTTCACATTTGAAAAACTCTGCCTTTTCACTGTCAAAGCCCATCACTTTGAGTCATTTCACTACCTACACTGACAAAACCATTCGTCATATTTGGACAATTTGGGTGTTTTTGGCAGCTTTTAAGGAGTTTCTGCAAATGGCTTTTTGAGTCTTCTGTTTTTTCTTAACTGGGTTTTTAGCAACAACCCCTTTTTCTTTTCCAACATTTTGATGGTATTGAGGACTGTGAGAGAGAAAAAAATGATTAGTTTTAAGCAGTTTTGGACAGAGAAGACGTTGGTTGGACTTGGACTGGGGCAGTTTCTGTCTCTTCTGATCACTTCTACTGGCTTCTCTTCCTCTGAACTCGCTAAAAAAGGTTTCTTTTTGCTTAATCTGTATTCTTTTTTGGTATTTTCTTTTGGTTTTGTCAGTATTGATCATACTGAAATGTAACCTTTAATGAGATGAGAAATTGGTTAAGAATTGACAAATAAATATAATTCAATTAGTTTCATTTGATTTCTAGCTTTAAATCTTTACTTAATTTAATTGATTATAGAGTTTTAAACTTGTTGATGTGTTTCTTGTGCTAATTGATGGCAAAGAGTGGAGCTTTTTTCTCACATAAAAGTCTTATAGATTTTTAAAAGGTTCTTGTTCAAAATATTAGATTAAAAAAGACTGAATTTTTTGTTTTATCAACTATATTTCTTGTTTTAGTTTGAATATTTTCTTCCGAGTGCTCTCCTTGTTTTTACTCATTGTCCATTAAATTTGATATCTGTGTTTTGACAACTGTTCTTTTCTTCTGAGGAATGTGAGGTCTATTGTCTGATGTTTGTTGCCACTTGCCACAGCTTGCTCTATGTTCTAGTAGATTGTCAAAGCTCAAAAGCAAAGTTAGAAAAAGAAAGAATAGTGCATTCACATGGTTTTCGAATTATATAGCATCATTTGATTATTCATTCAAAGATAATTTTCCATGTGTTTAGTGATCTCACCCCATTGATCATTTATTTCTCTGTTTTATTGTGTATCTTAGGAATTGATGCACCAACATCTCAGTCTTTTCTAAATTATGTACTCTTGACTATTGTCTATGGAAGTGTCATGCTTTACAGAAGGCAAGCACTTAAGGTATTTCTTTGCTTGGCCATCTCTTCTTCTCAACTTTGAGTGGATTTGGAATGTGTGTAGAATTTGATCGCATGCCTCCTTTTCGGGTTAAGTATTTATTATTAGGGATTATGATTTGTGATGGTATGTCCTCGGCAGTTATGCACCCAAGCAATGCTTGTAGCAACAAAGATCATGTAAACATAAACTTCTGTAAAGTAGTGGTTTTATATGTAATCAAAATATCAGTCATGAATGCAAAGAGGGCAACTAATAAAGTAGTGGTTAAAGGTTTTTGAGATATCTAATGGACTATGCTATATGCCTTAGCAAGTGGCCGCTAGTTGAATAATCTGGCTTTGGTTACTTTTTCCTAGATAGATGAATATAACCATTATAGGCTTAAAAATTCATGTGTTTGGTGCCCTTTTCCGCTACTTCAAGTATAAAAGAAACAGGTTAGGATGGGTTTGAGGTAGGTTTTGTTTTTTTAATGCTTTCTATCAAGGATTTCTTTTCCCTTTTTATTTTCAAATTTGATGCCTTAAGTTTGGCTGCTTTATTTGGAATTTGTGCAGGCAAAATGGTATTATTACGTTGTTCTTGGTTTGGTAGATGTAGAGGCCAATTATCTTGGTAAGTGTATCGTGTCCTTCCAATGAACTTCGCTGATTTGATATGTCTTGCTACACAAAATTTTCATTTTCTTAATTATTTTTATTTAAGACTAAACTTATTTTCTTACTTAAAAACCAAAAGACATGTGGGACCAGAAAACTTTTGATAAATTGTGGACTTTGAGCTTAATTGATTGATAGAGATGTCTTAAGCAGAAACTTTATTGCTTCTCTCCCTAGTTGATTTTGCTTTGTAAAACCTTCTATAGTTAATCATGATAGATACTCTTATAATTTAACCAAGTCTGTCTGCAAGGTGTTTGTTTATTTGAGTATATTTTTGCTATGAATGATTGAAAGAACGAGTAGCTAAACATATGAAATTACAAGTTAGTATTAAACCATAAATTCAACGCTCACGTTGATGCTGTTAATCTGGAGTTCAGTTTAGATTGTGAATAGTTTTTGTTTATGTATAGTAACCTCAAATGCAATTTACTGGAATCAGTACAGAAGCTTATGATGCAGAACTCATTTGAAACGGTTGTGTATTACCCTGTAGCACTCTGAGTCGCCTTTTTTACAAGGAAAAATTTTTGCTTAGGAGTTTTTTGTATATCTGTCAGAAAATATTTGTATGTGAAAATCGATTAATCTTTACTTTTGTTAATTGACCGTCACTTCATGTGCAGTGGTGAAGGCCTATCAGTACGCATCTATAACAAGTGTCATGCTGCTGGATTGTTGGTCTATCCCATCTGTCATGCTTCTTACCTTTATTTTCCTGAAAACAAAGTACAGATTCAGAAAGATAGCTGGTGTGATTGTATGTGTTGCTGGTCTTGTTATGGTCGTTTTTTCAGATGTTCATTCAGGTGACCGATCAGGTATAGTTTTGGTATTTGCTGCCTTTTTTATACACTTTTTTCAATCTCCATATTAGTGTTGCAATTGTGGAACTGGTTCTCCCATTGCTCCTTTGTTTACTGTTACCTTTTGGCTGATCTTCATAATTATGAATTTTGTCCAATGCTAAGGCACAGGCATGTGGTCAACCTTTCCTGTATTTTCATGGATTTTTATTTTCACCATAAACTACATATTGCCACTATCTATTTTAGTTTATTTTAAGGCATTAAGATGGATCAATATGGGGCATATTATGATTTGAGAACTACTATTCTGGGTTTTAGGAGGCAGCAACCCTCGCAAAGGAGATTTACTTGTCATTACTGGGGCAACACTCTATGCCATTAGTAACGTCAGTGAGGTAAATTATGTTTATGTTTATCCACTGGAAAGCTCAGATAATTCTTATCCTCTTCTCAATATAGCACATTTCTATACTGATAATGACAAAACATAGTGAAAAATAAATATTGCTTTGCATGATTGTTATTGTAAATGTAACACCTGAAATCATCGGTCCCTGTCACCTACATCATTTGACAATCTTTATGATTTTCACACATCCAAAGTTTTTCCTTTGTCTCTTCCTCCAATCCCCCCCACCCTGTTTTTTACTTTACGTTTTTTTTTTTACCTTTTCTTGTTCTCCATTAGCCCCATTTCATTCTGCTGCTCTTTTCCTCTTTGTATACCTCCCTCCTTGGCTTCGATCTTAGAAGCCCCCGATTTTATATTTTGTTTGTCGTCAGCAGTTTTTCTCCCATTTGATGCCCCTCTGCTGAGAGAAAATCAGGATCTGTTGAAACTTGTGGTTTGTGTTCTTTTGTTTTTAGCTGCTTCTGCCCATAGCTTTTTCTATCACAAATATACTTCGGTAAGCAAGTTTTTTCTATTTAGTTACTTACATAATGTTAAAAGTTGAAATGTCCATTGTTCTAATTTTATTTTGAAATCAACTTCAGTAGTTTTCCAGTCTTCTGATTTAAATGACCCTAATTTCTCTTTTTTTTATACTCTCTCTACCGTATCCCACTTCCATTGCTCTCTGTGTCTGCTAATCACTGCCTCAAGTTTCTTTTTACCAATCAGATTTGAAGATGGATTTTCAAATGTGGAATTGTTTTGTTTTATGGCCTGACGAATGACTACTATTTTGTACATTGAAATTGTTTTGTCAATCATTCTTACCCTACTGGATATAGCCCGTTGAGGGCTTTGATCTCTCTCTCTCTCTCTCTCTCTCTTTCTCTCTGCTAATAATTGCCTCACATATAAGTTTACCTATCAGGTTTAAAGATAGATTTTCAAATGTGAAATAATTTTGTTTTATGGTTTGAAGAATGACCACTATCTGTAAATGAAGTTGCCTTAACAATCATTATTAGTCTACTGGCTGCAGCTCGTACAAAGCTCAAAGTATTGTATCCTTTTATCTTATGTTGTTCTCTCCTAGCGTCTGTGTGTACAGCAGTTGGTTATCTATCATTCTCTGCATCATTATTTGTTTGTTCTTTTGCAGGAGTTTCTTGTGAAGAATGCTGATAGAGTTGAACTCATGTCATTTTTGGGCCTCTTTGGTGCCATTATTAGTGCAATCCAAATGTATCCTTGGTTTCCGAATTTGATTGCTCTTTAATTCAATGACTCCTGACAATTATGGGTTTATATTTCCTTTTATGAAATTTACTGTCCGAATTTTCTCATTGATATGCATCCCAGCTGCACAATGTTAGACAAGTTACAATATCTGACAATGTTAATGCCATCACGATTTTATTAAAGATATAAAATATGTACAATAGCTGGTTACATATTTCTTTACTGCAATTATATTGTCAATCTGTAACCCTTAATGATGTCTATAGAAGCATAGTTGAACGCAATGAACTCAAATCGATTCGGTGGACAGCTGGTGCTGTAAGTTTCCTCAAAACCTCCAATCTCCCCTCCTCTTTCTCCCTGTGTGCAACCATAATTTGTTTCTACAACTTTGGTTTAAAACTTCTCATATGCATTTGAATTCCCTCATACCTGATATAGGTGTCAAATTTGCATGTTAGAAATGCTATCTGAGTAAATAAAAAATAAAAAATAAAAAAAGAGAAATGCAACTGACCCTAGCTAAGCCACAATAGTTGATACTAGTTTATTTGACTACAACTTGTTGTGTTGATGAGGTCCAAACTAGTAAGAAGTCTTGGATTTTTTTCTTCTTCTATCACGTTCTTTTTGCACCAGCAAATGGAGCAACATCTCCTGATTGCAATTGGATTAAAAATCATCCAGGGGAAAATTAATTTTTGTGATCCTGTTATCCTACTTGGAAGAAATTTTTAGGGAGCTTGTTAGAAATAGTTAAGGTATTTTGGAGCCCTGATGTATGAAGCAGAACCAGGAACTAATTCCTAAGAAGATCACGAAAAGCAACATATGTTTTTTTTATTTGAGTGAATCAAAATCTGGTATCATTATTTCCTGGCATTTTTCTGTTTAGAAGACATGAAGATGATTAGGCAGGAATACAGGATCAAATAATGTGTTGTAAAAACTAGATGACACTAAATGTTTCAATTGATAACTTTACGGCATCCTGTATCTTTTGATGGTGAAAGCTGCTTTTTCTTACCTGTTGTGCATGGGATATATGAAGTTGATATATTGCACACATACATACACACAGTCTCCAGAGCTGATTCTTAATAGGTAGAACAATATCAATAAACTGGAGGTTGTCCTTTCAGTTTAGGTGTGCATAAAAGCTCGAGTTTTTGTTTTCTTAATGTACTTTAATTATTCTTTTTGTTTTTTCAGGCATTTCCATTTTTTGGATTTTCATTGGCTATGTTTCTGTTTTACTCATTTGTCCCGGTGTTACTTAAGGTATGAAAACTGCAATTTAAGATTTCATATAATGTATATCTTTTCCCGCTAAATGACCATAAATATGCTCAAGCAAGGTGGTGAAGAGCCAGAAACCGGAACAAGGATAGTTTGTAAACTGTTATTGTTCTATTGTATTAGCAAATCCATTAGTGTTTCTTTTAATTACATAAAAAAGAAAAAGGAAAAATTGAGGCTTTTCGTTCATTTTTGTTCTTTAAAGTTTTAGCCCCATGTTGACTTATTATTTTGGTTACACCCAATGCCTCTCAGCCGTAGTTAATGCTTAATTTTAAGTTTTCATTAGTTGGAAGAACTCAAATTAGTGTCACTTCTTTTGGTATATTTTTCTCCTAATATTTAAATTGTATTGTTTTGTTATTTGGTATATATAAAGTTTATCCGACTGATTCAGATTAGTGATACAAGTTTCATAATGACAGATTTTGGTGGTATGAGTGCATAAAGACATCATGGTGAATGCTCTGTGGAAATGCATCCATTCTCTTGTTATAGTTGTAAGAATCCATGATTTTAGGATCCAAAAATTTCTAAGCAATATAGCTCTATCCAACTTGTCTAGGAGATACAGGGATGCATGTTTTTCTTGTTATAGTTGTCAGAATCCATGATTTTGTGATCCAAAAATTTCTAAGCAATCTAGCTCTATCCAACTTGTCCAGGAGATACAGGGATATATGTTTTTCTTTTATCAAACTTTATATTAATGGGATAAACTCTCCAGCATTATTCTAATTAACATCTAATATTTCTTGACAATCTTCTGAATATCGGTTTTCTTCCTTGCAGATTAGTGGTTCCACAATGCTCAATCTCTCTTTGCTAACCTCAGACATGTGGGCCGTCGTAATCCGCATTTTTGCTTACCATGAGAAGGTTGGCAATCAAAATTATATTTTTTATTTCAAATATTGAGATTGAATTCAAGTCCAAATGTGATAGACCGAGGATCAGTTTTCTGATAACATTTATCCTCCTCAGGTTGATTGGATGTACTTTTTAGCCTTTGTTGCAGTAGCTGTTGGACTTATTATTTATTCTGGGTAAGTAAGTTTGCAATCCAAACTCTTTAGTTTCCGATTTTGTAACAGACTGAAGGAGAATAGTTGTGTTTTTGCTTGTTATGTCTAGTATGATTTGTTGTCTGTTTCGTCGTAATTGTCTGATTCTTCAGTAGTAAGTCAGAAAAGCTGTTTGGCAATTCAGCTATGAACCATGAGAAAGTTTATGTACATGGTCATGTATATTGCCAATTCCTCTTATTATAGGGGTGACAAGGAAGAGGATCAACGCCGAGCTGGTGTTGCTGATGAAGATGCTGAAAGAAGCAAGCATTTTGATGAGGAGGCTGGTTGTGACAACCTCAATCGCGGAACTATGGCTGGAAGCTCGAAAACCGGGGATACTAGCAAGCATGATTATACCACTAGCATCGAAGGAAGGGGAATTGTTGAGAACCAGAACATTGGATAAGATGTGCAAGGGAAGAAATCATGATGTATTGTTCTTTGGAATAGGGAGGCTATCTACCATAGGACATGTTTGGGACCTTAAAGGTAATTGTAAATGAGTAATTGCTGTTCTCATTTTCATTTTAGGGCTTCACCTATTTCATTCCTCTTTCACTTAGGAGCACAAGATATAGGTCAATGGCTACTATTACAAATGTTGCATGTTTTGAAAAACTATTGAATAGGTTATTTCCTTATGATTTAGAGGCAAATGCAATTATTGTTAAACTAAAGATGTTAAAAATTTGATTTAACCTGAATTAAACAGATCGAATTATTTAACTTAATTAATTAATCGATCAAGTCTAATTTAGACAATCGAAAATAAAAAAATAAAAAATTTATTGTTACATTTAAGAAAATACTGTATCTCTTAATTTCTGTTTGATTACTTTATATAATATTAAAAAAATGACTAACAAGGACCTTGAAATGTCATTTTGGTAAATAAAATATTTTTAGTCTGGTTAATTTGCTCCATTCACTCATATGCCAAAATGCAGTTGTTGCTAGCTCTGGTCGCCATTGCTGAGTTGATAAGCAAATTTGGGTCAGCAACATTCCAAAGGCATTTGAGTTACAAAGCTATGTATCATGTCCTCACCTATTTTATTGATCTCATCTTGAATGGCCACTGAAAGTAAAGGTTTGGGGGCAGGCAACAACTGGAAACGTGTACAAGATGTCAGGTTTAACCACCCATTTATTATTACATCAAACAACCGGAATCAATCAATACGACAATATGAACATGATTCCAAGGCAAACCAATGGAAATACCTCCTTATCAATGAAAACTAGGCACTACGTAACTTTATTGCATTGGAATACCTCCCTTTTTCTGTGGATTCACTCGGATTAATATTTGTTCTATTCCACTAGTAAAGGGAAGAATTCGACTCAGAAGGAAAAAAAAAGTAGATCTAGTAGTTCTTCCATCTGTGCCTCATAAAAAGAACTAGCAGGTTGATGGATCATTACCTTGATGATATAACATAAACTGTCATACTGGCAACCCGTAATGAGACCTCATAAAAAATTTCCGGTTTAACAGCTCACCAACCTCTACGAACAGTTTCCTTTTCTGCTTCATTTAGTGCCATTGCTCAGGTTTGAATGGAAAACGATAAGTCCGTACTTCCACTCCGGAGAAAATTCTTACATCGCCAAAACTATCAAACTCCGATCAAATTAGTTGCCTATATAGCAAAGTAAAGCATCCAAATTCGAACTTCTACAGTTCCCTGTTAGTGGACGATTTATAAATTCGAAAAATCTCAAAAAATTTGTAAATCTTTTTATAAATCGATGGTTTACTATGATCTTAAAAATGAGATAATCTCCCCTACTCTTAAACTTATTTATACCAAAAAAAAAAATGCAATGCCTTAGATTGCTGCTCAAATAGATAATGAATATCAATGTTGCAAACAAGGGCGAATAGTAAGCATGACGAGGGGACCAAGGCACCTCAAGATTTTTGAAAATTCTATTTTATTCATATATGGATGTGTATAATTTTATCTTGTATTTTCAATTTTATATCAAAAAAATTTATCCATTACGAAGTTATTTTTCTATCATTTAAATAATTTGGTTATTGACAGAGTCCTGAATAAGAATGTTTTAGTTGGATCTTTTACTGAAGAATGTGAAGGAAACATTGTTCATCTATGGACTTAACATACATTTATAGCTTTAGATAATGTAATGATTTATATGAATATGCTAAAAAAAGTTCTGATTTGTCACTTAAAGCTGACTGCAAAATCCATGCTGTTCTTTAGTTCTCTCCTTTTGGTGCCCTCTATGCTTGGGTATATAATGTAATCAGAGTTAATTACATTTTTTTTTTTACATATTTCTGAAAATACATTTATTTTTTAAAAAATATAAATTGGTTTATAAAAATTAAAATATATAATTTATATCATGAACTTTTAAACTATGTATAATTTTAATCTAAAATTTAATATTATTAACTTAACTCATCTATATAATATTTAATCAATATAATTTTGCTATATACATATTATTTATTAAATAAAAATATTAAATATTTTGTAAAAACTTATGTAAATGTCATGTAGATATCTCATGACAAATAATAATTGAACCATTCTATATAATTTTTACTATTAAGATAAAAAAAAATAGTTTTAATTTATATTGAAAAAATGTTAATAACATATATAATGAGTACATAATTTTATAATATTTATCAAATGTCATATATATATATATATATAAACTGACATTATTAGTAAGATTAGAATTTAGATTAACATAACATATAATTTAAAAGTTATGGTGCAAATTGTATATTTTAATTCTTTAGGTACCAATTTATTCATTTTTTTAAATTTAAGTACTAAAAGTATAATTAACTCTAATTATAATCATTAATAGTTTCATCAACCGCAAGAAATTAAAAATAAAAAGAAAAACTTAAATGATACAGTTTTTTAAAGTTTAAGGAACAAATCGTGAATGTTGTTCTTCAAATACCAAATTATTCATTTTTTCCTCAAAATTTGGATAAAAAAAAAGTAATTAACCTTTTTGATAATTATCCATCTCCTGTTCAGCCTGATACCATCATAGTAGCCTTTATAAAGTGAAAATTGTGGTGTTCATTATAGCAGCCTTTCGTAAATATACTGAAATTAATACTATTGCTGATGGGAAAATAAATGATGGAAAAATGAATGATTAGATTTATTATTGCATAGTGTGGCCAACCATTCTACAAATACTCAACATGTGAAAGAAAATATATATATATATATATATATATTTATATGGAAGAATGAGAAAAAAAAAAAAAAAAAGAAGAAGAAAAAACAAGGAACCTGAGAAAGATTGTCCTCACTGCTACACAATTTCACTAACTGCTCAAACCAGCAATGAACCAAACGACTCCTGTGGCCCGAACAGTGCAATAGCTTAAGCAAGAACGAGAAATAATGAAATGAATAAATATGGATCACGTCAGGCCACTGCCAAGAGAATGTGCGACTACAAAATTACAGCTTCGACTCAGGGACGGCGACACCTGGCTTTGCTAATTCAATTTCTTTTACTCTGTATCACAAGCATGTATGTCACTTACTCGTCTAGGGAAGCAACTCGTTCTGATCGATAACCACCACTGTATGGCTGTTGAGAATAGCCACCAGAATCCATCATAGGGTTATAACTGGCAGGCATTCCAGTTTGCGGTTGCATGTGGGCTCCTTGCCCCATTCCCATATTCATCCCCATGTTGTTCATCCCCATTCCCATGCCCATAGGTTGTTGACTCATACCACAATGGCCTCCTATGCCCATGCCTCCAACAGGACCACCACCCCTTCCCATTCCCATGCCCATGCTAGAACCCACCATAGGATTTGCTTGAGGTCTGAGAATGCTAGCACCAGCACCACCAATCCCAGATCCAGTTCCCTAGCTTTACCCATGGCGACAGTAGATGTTACTGCAGTAGGGGCAGGCTTTTCCATTCTCTTTTCCTTCCCATTAATAGCATCAAAGTCGACTCCAATATCAGCCAATGGGTTTATTTTAGCTGCATAAAGAAAATAAAATAAAGTTAATTCTTGTGGAAGGGACATAATTCATGACATTATTTTACCTAGGGAAAAGTGAGTACTTACGTCCAGATATATTCAAATTGACCAGTCCTCTGCTCAATGTATCAGCCCAAACTGCAGACTTAGGCTCAAATTTGTCCTTTGATGGTTGCAGAACCATAGCAAGTGCTCCTGTTGACGAGGGAGGAGCCGTCTGTGGTACCATTGAAGTGTTTGATCCTGGTGGTGAAAATAAGCCACCCAGGACATCATTGTTATTTTGTACACCTGGTGCAGTTTTGGTTTGATGAGCACTCTGTGAAACAACTGGCAAAACAGAACCCTGTTGTGAAAGGAAGTTTCCAGCATTAAACTGGGTAGCTGGTCCAGCAGGACTTTGAGGTTGAGCAGCCATGTGTGTACTGACAGAAGTGTTAGAACCTATCTGAGAGATGACGCTCCCATTGCTGCTCTGTGCAGCAGATCCTGGAATATGAGGGGCCACAGACACAGTCTGTGAGTTAAAATTACCATACATATTATTTGAACTTGGTTGCATGGGTTGGGCATATGGATTAGCATTTGGCTGTGTGGGTTGGCTGTATGGATTAGCACTTGGCAGTGCGGGTTGGCCATAGGGATTAGCACTTGGCTGAGAAGATTGGCCATACGCATTTGAACTTGGCTGTCCAGGTTGGCCACAGGGGTTAGCACTTGGCTGTGCAGGTTGGCCATATGGATTAGCACTTGGCTGTGTGGTTGACGGTAGATATTAGCACCTGACTGTGCCTGTTGACCATAGATACCTGGCTGTGCTGATTGGCCATAAGTAGCTAGTGGTGGTGCAGATTGGCTGGTTAGTGCTGAAAAGGCTGATGCATTTGAAGCTATATCATCTGCAGGTCCATAAGGTGGAAGGATATCCGCCAATAAATCACTTTCCTGATTTGGAGTTGACAATTCTCGATGCAAAAACTGTGAGTTTGTTGATGATTGAATGATGGAGACACTGGGCGCAGAGTAAGCATTGGCAGAGAATGAGTCCTCGAAGTTGAAGCCTGTGACTGTCTCGGATTTTGCAGAAGGTGGCTGAGGAACTTCTGCATTTTGATTCATTGTAGGCTGGAAAGTAGGCATGGAAGTTGAAATTTGTTGCTGAGCAGGGACAGCATCAGGGGAAGGGAAAGCTTTAAAAGGACCGTCACCAAATGGATCATCAAAACCCTGTATCAAGAACCAAACTAACGTATTCCATAACAACAGAATTGTGCAACAAATTATTTTAAAAAATTTAAGTCTACTGGAATCAAAGAACAAAGACAAAGTTCAGCGGGGTAAATGAGGGGGAGAGATAGGAAAGAGGGAGGCAATAGAGCAAAATCTGGCAGATGGTTCCATTCATAACCAGTCAGTGATATAATACTAAACAAAATTTCACCTGTATATTTATTTGAATTTCGCCCAAAAACCTTCTATGTTATCTTTTCTATAGCAAGTATGCAGATGATCTCAATGATTCCGCAACATTACTTCATTTTTAACCACTCATGCTGTTTGTTTTACATGCTGGTTCAAATAAACATGCTTAACAAATGAGAGCACGTAAGAAAACAATAGAACAGCATATCCACATTCATTATGCCATCAATAGGCATATT